GACTGCCCGGCTTTCATCTTCCACGCAAATAATGAGCAGTGCTTAACCCCAACCACACAGACCACGGAAGATATGGACACCGAATGCAAAGGTGGCGAATAAAGGACTCACCTGTTTGTGACTGCAGCTAGGGACACCAAACGATGGGGCCGTCCATAAATGACGTCACGCACCTGGGGGGGGAGGAATCCGATCCGATGAGCTATAAAGCTCTCTTCCACAGACGTCCAGTCGGGGCAAGGCAGAACAACAACAAATACAAAAACACGATATTAGTTCAACGTATAGGAAAGGTAAATAAATCATCCATAATAGTTTTTTTAGGTTAGATCGCATATTTACGCGATCTAACCCCAAAAAACTCAATTATGGATGATATTGGTCGCGAAAGCCTACACGTGTTAAAGGGCCGTCCATACATGACGCCACGCACCTGGGGGGGGGGGGGGGGGCAGACATTTGTGACGATGTGTGACGAGGGGGGGGGGGTTTGAGAAATGTGACGTCACATCAAAATGGGCAACTTTAAATAAATATAGACAACGCGTTCTACTTACTTAAATAGACTTTTAATAAATGTTTTCTCCTACAACATCAAAGTGCAGCGCCACATTAAATACGCACTTCAATGGCAATAATTTAAAGCGATTTGAAGCATGTTTAATTTTTCTTTGGGGGGGAAGAGCTTTGTGATGTCATATTTGAGGGGGGGGGGAGTCTGACTTTTTGTGACACCGTGTGACGATGGGGGGTGGTGAAAAATCGTCCAAAATCGCGTGACGTCATTTATGGACGACCCCTATGGAGCAAGTAACTTCACACTTTCACAAATATAAATTTGAAAGCAGTATATCTGAAATTCACCAACTCTCAGACAAAGCAATCAAATGTTAAATTCACTTAGACAAAGGAAATCATCATCATGTGCTTTTTTAATTTGACTTGACTTCACAAACACAATCTCCACGTCTCAGGGGAGGAAGCTTAATTTGACATGTAATGGTGATGGACATTTTGACGAAGCAGTCAAGTGAACATAACTCATGGCAATGCACTTGAGTCTACATTAATCCGGCTCCTGTGATTACAGCCACCTAGCAGCCAACGACATCAACTCTCTCTATAAGCTGTGGAACGGGCAATTGGGATAACAGATGAAATGTACATACAGTACACCATCCGTTTGCTATATTCATCCCGTACTTATACGATGTACAGTATAAAGTAAATTACCTTTATGTTGTGGAAGCCTGTAATGGGCAGAAACAATTAAAATAGGCTCAGAAAACAGTCTTGATGTCACTGTCTCCTAGAAGCAGCTGCTGTTCTCAACATTTTATCTGCCACCACTGTGTTAGAAATGAGGAAGTCTGCATTTCCAAGAACAATAATTAATATGAATGTTTCTCGTGTCCTGCCAACAGCCATGTGGTTTTTCCACGTTTCGAACGGTGAATAGAACATGGCTCATGATGTCGCCTGGTACGTTACCCTGACGAGGTTCTCCAGAATGCATGACTCTTAGGAACCTGCAGAGTGATCAGTGTTGCACGGTCTTTGTTTGACCGCGTAGCCCCACTTCCACGTGTTGACCTTTAATCTGCCAACTCTCCATTTAGAGACGCACCTCCAGGTCGACCAGTCGTTTTGTTTGTGTCTGCAGTGAGATGTTTGTCAACATTGATGTGTTTTTAACATCCTTGCTCAGTGAGCAGAGTCGTGTGCATATGTAGCGCTGTAAATAGGGCTACATGTGTACTAATGGGTCGCGCTACTTACCTGCAGTTGCGAACGAGGTCGTCCAGGGGTATATCCTTGGACCGGCATAGGGGCCGCTATATTCCCCAGCTCCGAGACAAAGGGGGACTGCGGGGTCTGCTGGGATCCGCCAGAACCCCCCTCGGAACTCTCTGGAAGGGTGGCGTGGCCGGGGGCGGGCACGCCTTCAGAGCTGTATAAAGCCGGACCTCTGGACGGCTCGGGAGCCAGTGGAAGACTGAAGACCAGCTAGCCAGTTGAAGACTGAAGCGCAGCTAGCTAGGACCCTGGGACTCACCTGACCCGCCATCCTTGTAAGGGCCGGGTCTGAGTGGGCCAGTGGTGTGACCCTAGAACCCTCGGGGCCCGACATCCTTGTAAGGGCTGGGACTAAGCGGGCCAGTGGTCGGGACCTTGTACCTTGGCTGGGTCAGGTCAGAACAGCCTCCTCTAGGTCACCCCTAGCCGGAGGACCCAGAGACCGTAGCTCCAGTAGTAGGGCACGTCAGTCCGGAGGTGGTACCTCCTTAGGCAGCGGGTGAAGGGGCCGTAACCCCTTCAGGTGCTAAGGGTTCGCTACGTGCTGTATCGTAGCCATTGTTAATAAACGTGTTGCCTCCAACCGTTCGTCTCCACTCTCGTAAACAACCCACACTACACCTACAATGCAGCGAGGAAGCTTTTCCAAATTTTCAGGCGGCTTACAGCCACAGTGTGGCCCTGTAGCAGATGTATCATGTCTTCCACCTGTCTTGGTCATTCATGAGTTTTACTTACGGCTGCCATCTAGATATCTGGCCTGGAGATTTTGGAAAGCGAATACAGATTGTTTCATTTGGTTTTGGCCATCCAGTAATACATACGCAGGTGTCATCCAGCACAAGGTGCAGCTACTGTGCGTGAGCTGGTCTTTCCCACACGACACAACTAAACACAAGATGCCGTTATGTTTAGTAAAATGTCTGCATCGTGGAAATAGGACAGAGACTTCATTGACCTCAGACTACTTGACCTCAGACTATCATTCTGGTCTGTTGAGTTCTTACCTGGTTAAGCCAAATAAAACCGAAACAAATCATATAAACTCATTTTTACTTAAACAAGTACTGTCAGTTTATTAAAATTACTCGATCAGAAAAACACATTTAACATGTATTTTATGAAATATATTATTTAATCCCCCCCCAGGATTTCACACAAAGTATCCAGATCCCAGTAATCTTCACAGATCGCAACACCCCCCCCCCCCCTACAAAAATAGAACCCGCCCACGGGTAACCCATGAATCATGAAAACGTGAACATATTCCCCCTTACACCATATCCCCATAATTTGTGTAGTCATAAAGTGTAAGACAATAAAACCTTTGTCCCTATATACACGTGAACAGAGAAAAATGTACCCCTACACACCAAAACACAAACAGCAACGAAGTTATTGCAATATAAACAAATGTGAATAAAATTAAACGTTTAAAAAAAATTCTCCATTAAAATAAATCCGACAGAATAAATGCATCATATATACACTATGAACTTAACTATAGTAGCAGCTCACGAGGAACGATTAAGTCACCATTGGAACCTCCTTTGCCAATAGCAAAATATGATAATTGTTTTTTTATCCCTTTATCTGGCAACAAAACTGACACCTTTTTTTTACAAGGAGTCATGTTTGCATTGACCACAATACCTGCAGCTGGAATGCAAACAAAAAACACAATTTTGATAATGTATGCACTGTCCTTGAAATTGATTGGTCCACACCCGAGACAGTTTTTCTTAGAGCCCAGTCTCACATGGTGTTGGACCAGATGATGCCAAAAGGCGCACAACTCAAAGACAATGCACCATCAGAGTATGAGAGCTCGGGGTAAGCATTTATACCATTGGAACCTCCTTTGCAAGTAGCAAAATATGATAATTGTTTTTTTACCCTTTTATCTGGAAACAAAACTGGCACCTTTTTTACAAGGAGTCATGTTTGCATTCACCACAATACCTGTGGTCGGAATGCAAACAAAAAACACTGCAAACCTTCTGGCTAGTATTAAAGGTTTGTTCATGAAGCCATCCAGATATATAAACAGACATAACTTTAACTGAGAAGATGGATACAAATTGAGCAATAATTGGAAGGATGTTATTAACCAGGTAAAACCTTAATTGTTTATGGTTGTTCCATCATATCTGCCGAGTACTAGTCTATTTTTTAAATCCTTTATATTAAGTTCGCGTGCTTGCTTGCTTGCGTGCTTGCTTGCTTGCTTAGGACCGTGCAAATATTTCGGTCGTTTTTTAACCCACTTCCCGTGATCCAATCGAGCTGACATTTTCCACACAGACTCGTTGTGCCAGACAATTATTGTTCGTGAAAAAAAAATTCCCAAAATTTTACACTTTTTAGGACAAAAAAAAAATATTTTACATATATTCAAATAGAACGCATTCATGGCTTTGGCTGAACATCACAGTGTAAGAGCCCAGAGCGTAACCCCTCCACAGGCCGTGGTGGAGTAGCGCAGTTAGTAGCGCCCTCGCTTCCCATGCCAAAGGGCGCGGGATCGATCCCCGCGTCCTCCACAGGCGAATATATTTTTAAATCCTTTATATTAAGTTCGCTTGCTTGCTTAGGACCGTGCAAATCTTTCGCTCGTTTTTTAACCCACTTCCCGTGATCCAATCGAGCTGACATTTTCCACACAGACTCGTTGTGTGTGACAATTAATTTTCGTGAAATTTTTTTTCCAAAATTTTACACTGTTTAGGGAAAACTAATTTAATATTTAATTACCAATTGCTTAATACTGGCAGACAATCATCTGACCCATAGATTGCAGCCATCTCAAGCCAGAGGACGAGAGAACTCTAGCCGCCACGCATATAAAGGATTTAGAGTAAAAAACTTTGTTTTTACGGGTTTACTTGTTCCGAGTTAATTTCCCCCGGCATCCCCAGCGTTTGGCATTGCTGCTGCATTGGCATTGTTGCTTCATTGGCATTGTTGCTGCATTGGCATTGTTGCTGTATTGGCATTGTTGCTGCATTGGCGTGGTTGCTGAATTGGCATTGTTGGTGCATTGGCACTCGTGCACCGCCCGTGTTTCCGAGTTAACTTCCCCCCCGCATCCCCAGCTCGCTCGGCCTCCCACTTCCAGCCCCACCCACTTCCCCCCGTCCAGCTTCACGTCCCTCTTTTAGCGTCCACGCAACGCTTCCCTCCACCCCCCCTCTCTCTCTGCCCCTTTCCCCTCCCCCCTCTCTTACCTATATAGCCTCTTACCACGGCATCTCTCTCCTACTTCAGCAAAAAAAAATATTGCTGTGGTTTTCCCACCTGATGATGATTGCTTGTGTTGCAATCGAAACGTCGTGATTTGTTTTTATTTTATTTCTAACTACGTGACTTTACTGAAAGAACCAAAGAGTAAGGAAGAAAAATGTTGTCCTTGGTCTATAAATTATTTTTTGGTGCCCCCTTATCCAAACATAACCAGTAACTAATGTATCTGCAATTGTTTCCGCCTTCTGGTCAGGAATGGGACAAGCTATGGGCCAACATGAAACATATTCCATGCCAACCAACAGGTAGAGATTTCCCGATGTGTGTTTTTGGTAGGGATCCAATAATACCCAGCACAAATAGTTCATTAATACGTGACACTGGTATTGACTGCAGTGGATATTGTATTGGACAAATAGACGTTTTACGGTTTGCGCAGTCTTCACATTGTGCAACCCGCTGAGCCACATCAGCAGTCATTCCCCACCAAAAATATCGTAAGCGCATAGTATTTAATGTTGTTGATGCTACCATGTGTAACAATCTTCGTTTGTGAAATTCGTCGGGGACGACCATGTATCGTCACTGTAAGCCACGTCCCAGTGCATGAATAGATTTTGCTAGAAAACATTGCTGTACAAGGTGGTAAATGGTCTTATTTCTGCATGGGTTCCAGGGATACTTTTTTATTAATTTGTGATCCTTTTCTTGGAGATGAATCCAATCAGACAGAGACAGCTCCAACTCAGTGTCTCTGGTAGTAAAGATGACTGTGATGCCTCCAATGATGCATCTACATTTAAAAGTGGCTGCAATGCAATTGACGACATGTCAGAGGATGACTGTGGTATGCCCGATGGCATGAGCAAACGCGTCAAGGGAGCCACAAAAGGAGATGCATGTGGTGTGGTGGGCTTGCACCATCCGGCAAAAAGAACACCCTACCTCTTCGGTGGTGCTGGACAGTAACGCTGTGGTGGACGCGAGCAATTCCATGGGGGGAACGGCCAATTCCATTTGACTTTTCCCCTCATGGTGCTTGCAGCCACCACAGCGGCCAATGGGGGCTCTGGATGGGTGCGAGGGTTGGTAACACTTCCACCTTCAACCTAACTACCACTAAAACACGTGTTAAAAATCTAACTAAACTTGTGCCAGAGGCCCCAGGGGGGCAGGCGTCTATGACGTCTCCTGGCCAAACCCCATTTGGCGGAGCCAGGAAACTGAATCCTTACCCTCGGGGTTCCTCCAGAAACAGTAAAAACCACGAAGGGTGGCCACGTGGAATGTTCGGACGCTCAATGCGGAGGAGAGGCTGCCACTTCTCTGTCGGGAGCTGGACCGGTACCACCTGGATCTCTGTGGTATTAAGGAGGTCCACTGGACCGGCTCTGGCTCCTGCCGCCATGAGGGGTGCACAGTCCTCTACTTGGGGTAGGAGACTGCCAAACAACAGAGAGTGGCTCTTCTTCTGAACAAAAGAATGAAGGGGGTGTGGGAGCATGGCGGTTAGGTGTGGGAAGCTGTAAGTCCCAGGCTACTTTGGGCTCGCCTTCCAATCAACCAGAGGTCGAGGAGTGGTGGTCGTGGTTAGTTATGCCCCCACTGAAGACGAACATCCGTGGAGGGATGCAGGCAAGGCCAATGAGTCAGATGCCTTCTATCACCTCCTGTCACAGGTGCTAGCTACAGTGGCCCCTAGGGACAGAGTCATCTTCTTGGGTGACTTCAATGCCCGAGTTGGTCAAGATGCTGGCACCATGGTCTGGAGTGATTGAAAGGCATGGGCCAGATCAGCTCAATAACAACGACAGCAGGCTGCTAGACTTTTGTACAGCCCATGGACTTGTAATTTCCAACATGCTTTTCCAGCATCAACGCATCCACCAACATCATGGACGCATGCCGGGTCCAAGCAAAAACATCTGCTGGACTATATAGTGATGGAATAGCGGATGCATGAGCCCATGTCCTTGACACCAGGCAGGACCTACCATGGAGCTGATCTGCCCACTGACCATCGGCTTGTCATCTGTAAGATGTGCCTGCCATTGAAACCCACAGTGGCCTGGTCTCAGCTAGCTGATGAAAGTTGTGAGAATTTCATCATCACTTGCAGCTGGGGTTTGCATCCTCCCCGACTCCTCCTGACGCCAAGGGAAAATGGGCGAGGTTTAGGACTGTGGTTCATGCAGCTGCAATGACTGATTTGGGTGCACGGTCCCAACCTCCCCAGAGACCCTGGCTGACAGAGGAGGTGTTCCAGCTGGCTGAGAAAAAGCGACAGGCCCACTCTCACCATCTACAGCATCCCACGTCAGAGAATGAGGCTGATAGCAGCCTTTACTCTAGAGGTTCAGAGAGCCGTGCAACGCTACAACGTCGGGGGTTGCTAAGGAGATGGAATCTGCCTCAGTAGCCCGCGATAACAAATCACTCTTTAACTCCATCAAAAAGTAACTTGCAGTGCTAAAACTATCACCATCATTGCGGAAAAGAAAGGTGATCCAATCGCCGACCCGAGGAACAAGTTTGCAGAATTGCTGAGCATTTCTGTGAGATCTTGGGGGAGGGGGAATCCCTCAGCCTGGAAAACATCATGTGGCAAAGTGGGATGACCCTCCTGAGGCTGCGGTGCCTCAAATATTGGAAGAAGTGGTCACCCCCTGTGAGTGGCTGACTGAAGTTCTATTTGTTGAGGAAGTACGGAAGGTGATCCAGAGTCTGAGACCAGAAAAAGCACCAGGCAGAGATACAGTGTTAAAGGCGAGCGTTTGGGCTGACAAATCAGTGTCAGGGGCGAGCGTTGGACGTTAGTGCCGTGGTAAGGAAAGATAAATGGAGATGGGGGGTTTGTGTTGAGGTTAAATTGAAAAATAAAGTTTACACACACATACACCAGAAATGGAGAGCTAATCAGCATCATTTAGTACAATAAAATGGATGGTAATCTCGTAGAAGTAAAACAAAGAGGGAGGGGATGATAATTTCGGATGCAATCCTATTTTCCCCAAAAGGTATATTATTTTTCAAACGCACAACATGCCATTTTCCAGGAATGTAACCCCCGCGTTTGGGGAGGTCTGCCTGTATCAGAATTCAGACCGACCTTATGGCAGAAATATTGACATATTTACATAGAAAGTATTATGAATCATTACAAATATATGAATATTAATTTTAAAAAGCTAATGCAATAGCAGGTTGTATACATATAGTTCCAAACTAAATAGAGAATATACTGGGGGAGATTATACCCATTCAAGTGACATAGAAGCAATATAGCCACCCCCCTTTTTCTAGGAGCCTAAATCGGAATGTGGTGATGGTCTCGACTGCAGCACAGCGTTGAGGCTGGTCCAGAAGACGGCGCGTTTTCTCTCCTCCGCCGGCCACTCCAGGTAGGTCTTGTTGCTGAGGAGGCGGCGGAGTTTGCAAAACTTGCTTGGCAGCGAGTCCTTGGGCAGCGGCTCGAGCAGCAGCAGAACGAGCGAGTCTTGGTTCTCCTCCACCATGCGGTGCTGTGCAAAGTACAGCTCGTAGTGGCACCACTCGCTGTTCACAAAATTCCTGGAGAGTACGAACAGGGTCTTGGACGACTTCTCGATACACTCAATGATGTTGTCTACGATCCAATGTCCAGGTGTGAAGTCTCGCTCGTGGATGCACAGCCGCAAGTCAGGGTTCGAATGCTCAAGTGTCGGCACCAACATGTTCTGCACCCACTCGGAGTCCAGGTGGCTGTAAGAGATGAACGCGTGATACTCGAAAGGGAGATCCTCTTCTCCTGAAATTAATTTGTATCTCCTTCTCTTTGCAGACACCCAAATAAAACCCATGCGTATGTACCATATGGCATCAAGATAATGTCCAATGCCGATGACAAGGGCTATGACGACCACTGTAACAACAACACTGACAGAAATTGCAATTACTCTGTCGCAGTTTAAAATATTAGGGTTGAAGTAATTCATTTCCTTACCAGACAAATATTCTGGGTAGCTGCATGTGTAATCGTTTGGCCAGCCATTTAGAAGTGTTTTATTAAAACGTTGCCGGAACCAGTAAAGGTCACACATGCAGTAAAACGGATTGTTCCCAAGGGTAATTGACTTAATTTTCTGGAGGTGCTGGAATGTGCCTTGACCAATGATGCCCAACGCATTATAGTCCACATATAGAACCTGAAGAGATTGGGATTTTACATCAGAGGAAATATACTTTATGAGATTCCCAGTGAGATGGAGCTCCTGCAGAGATGTTGCATTGGTCAAGATGTAATTGGGAAATCTCTCCAATCTTGTGTAGGAGAGGTCTAAAAACTTGAGGTTGGCAGAAGTGCAGATTACAGACTCTTTACTGATTTCATTGTTACGAAGGATCAACCTCTCGAGAGAGGATGGCCACCTACACTCTTCGATGTAATTAATGCCATTGTAACTCACGTCCAGTGAATTGATGCGAGGCATGAGGGACACCATTTCTGATATTTTCTTGAGGTCTTTGAAATAGTTGTGACTTATGATCAGTTCAGTGGCTTCAGGAAGGATCACCGTGTAATTACAGGAGTCCCACCAGAGGCCACCCTCATTGAGAAGATTTCTGGAGAAATCTAGCTGCTTAATGGCTTTCATCTTCATGAAAAAGCAGTCTACTTTGTTCATGCCCGTGTTAGATATCTTTAGTTGGGATATATTTGGAAAGAGTGTCATGTTTACTATAAAAATAGGGTACGTCATATTTAGATGAAATATTGAATCTATCACTATTTTCTTGAGAGGTGACAGTTTTGTTACATTTTTTACACCGTTAAATATTACAGGATAGTGGTCAGTGTAAGAAGAATTTTTAAATACAAGCATTGTCAACTCTGATAAGTATATATTTTTGAGCAAGTTACTTACTTCTTTATCAGTAAAGTTTGCTTCAATTAGCGTCATATTTTTTAGTAAATTACTTGATCCAAGGCCTTTGAAGAAATCTATAGATGCGTTTTTGAGAGGGTTGTTCAAAATTCGAAATATTTCAAGCTCAGAAATGTGTGTATTATTCAGGTCCGTCAACATTTTTGATAAAACGAGTGGGTCCTTGTCAACAGAGACGTTCGTGTTAAGTTTTTCCAGAGATCGCAAGTGGGTAAGAGCCCCAGTCTCGTAAACCCAAAGAGGTGAACCAGTGTTCAAGTTCAAGTATTTTAGGGGGACGCTTTCCAGTGCTTGGAAGTCAGACGCATTTAGTACTGTGGTTTTTGGCGTTCCGATGGTGAGGTCTCGTAGGTTCGACATTCTGGAGAAGTCCTCTCCCAAAGCAAATGAGGTGTAGTTGTTCATGGAGATATTGAGAACTTGCAGGTTTGGGAGGCTACCAAGAGCCTCTCCAGGCTTCTCTGAGAGGTTGTTCTGGCAGAGATCCAGGTAATATAAACGTTTGAGGGTGGCCATTGCTTGGGGATGTATCTTCTGAATGTGGTTAAAGGCCAAGGTAAGTACTTGCAGGTTTGGGGTACTGGAGAAATCCCCGACTTCAAGAGCCTTTATGTTGTTGTAGGACAAGTCGAGAAGAGTGATATCAGCTGAGAGACCCCGAGGCACGTATGTCAGCCCACGATGTGAACAGTCTGCAGTTCGACCCTCGTCTTTGATGTGGCATTGTGAATCAGGATCGTTCATCTCTCTCAATGAGGCTTCTATAAACCCCATTATACAGAGGATCACAGGAGTGCACATCAACATTCTTCTGGCCAGCTTGACTTTAAAAGCCATCTGTAAGATAAAATATAACACCATTAGCAAATTCACCTTTTTGTCAGTAGGTAATACAGTAATCCCTTGCCAACCGCGAATTTACCAATTGCTAGATTTGAGTATACCCATATTTACTTCTGTATATCTGTTTACCAACCACGAGCATCTCGGTTGGAGCACACACAATCGCATCCGCCATGTTGTCTCGCCGACTGCTGCGAGACGCGAGGCACCTCTGGGTCTGTCGCTACCCAATCCTCTTTCTTCCTTCTTCACATTGCTACCTCCACGATCGGTCAGATTCACGCTCCGTCTCACGAAATAATTTTACAGTATTTAAATTTACCAAACGCGGCCTGGAAATGTCGGTATCCACGAGCAAAGCACGGTGTTAAGGAAATCACATGACGCTGTTATTATGTCGTTGCATTACTGCATGACTTCATTGTATTGCGTGGCGTCATTGTTACAAACTTCGCAGGTCCGTGGTGCTGCTTAGCTGATCAGCTGCCCGTCTGTTTTTATGTACAGTACTATACGGTACATGTTAATTTTGCCCTTTATCATGGACCCAAAGCTTGCAGAGAGTTGTGAAGGTGAGTGTTGCGTCTGTGGCCCGGTAGACGAGGGTTGGGCTGAGCCCGTCCTCTTAGCCAGCCCTTTACCCATCATCTCGTTGTCATCGTCATCATCATCGTTAATATTGAAGGTATGGAAAGTTAATGTAAAGTATATTAATGGTGTATTGTGTTGTTGTGCAATGTACTGTATTTTATTCGGCGTTTAGTTAATAAACAGTAAACTTTGTTAAGTCTGACCGCTGCCGCGGTTACCCTAACCCCCTAGCCAGTGGCGGCTCCTGCAAAATCTCTCAGGGGGGGCAAATGTCTGGATGATTGATAAGGATAAGGTCCACCCATGCAATGGATAAATTAACAGCTTAAGCATGTAAAGGCAACTTCACTTCTTTAATATTAATGAAAAATAAAGTGACTCTTACAATACATCTTGTTTGTTTCTATCTCACTATTATTACAATCCACTCAGTTTCTTTTATTAAAGATTCCACTAGGTGGCGACATAATATTGTTGACTGAAACGTGCTTACGTATGATGACGTAAGCACGTTAGTGCGAGCCCTCCCGGAAGCCATAGAGAATGCATTGCTTCGCCCGCCGTTCGAAAAAAAACATCTTTGAATGTAAGTCTATGGGAACACTCTGGGCGATTCTCAGCCATAGTGAAATCGCCCAAAAAGAGGCGGTACTCCACAGAACGTGACATGACGCTGATTGGACTATATCCAGAGGCACAGTAACGGCTGAGATTGGTGGTGCGTCGCCCAATCGCCCTAATGAAGAAACCGCCCCTGCCCCTAGCCCCTGTACTTTACCAACAGCGAATTTACCAATCCTCGCGGTTGGCAAGGTATTACTGTCTAGACTTTCGGCAATCCCTCAAGCGAGCATTTAAAAAATATAGTGTATAACTACTGTACTGAGCTTCCAAGAGAAATATTCACGATTTTCATCATGGATGTATTTTTTTAGCTCAACATTACTTTCACATTGATAATTTACACTAAATGTGATGTTAAAATGCAATGTGGTGTTAAGCCGATTGTCGTGTGGTGTAAGTTTTGTATAGTGCTTTACTAAAATAGGAGTGAGTAATGGTTAGCACGTTGTACTATGACCCCAGAGATAACGGCAGTGGCGAGTAATATCTGATTAAGTGCTGGGCGTGCACATCATAAACTTGTACTGAACAACACGCTGAAGTGTGTCCAAACAACATCCATGACCAACATGGCAAGTTGAGACCTTCATCCAGCAGTGGATTGACAAAGGGCTGTTGGGACTATTATTTTTATAGTCCTGTGTTGGCCACATCGTATTGTACCGTGATCCCACTCGGGACTTATTGGACCTACAAGGGTCAAAGGGTCACATGAACTCTGGACGCACATAATTATTTTGTGTTATGGTTTATATAGGTTTGAATTAGACTAGGACCCATGTCTTAAAGAGAGGGTCCTAGCCTACAGTATAAACATCTGGCTATTTACCAGCATTGGTTCAAGCAAACCTGACTGCTGATGAGCCACTGAATGTCAAAACCGGCTCGGAGTTTGCTGCTCTGAAGGTGATGACGTCACGGGGTTTCCCACCATCGGGGATGATACTGGCAAAAGGTCCCATAGATATAAGGCTTTGATACTTGCATGGCCTTTGTACGGTCTCCCTTTTTGTGTTGTTCTCTGGTCTAACACTGGTGGTGAGACAAGGCCAGAAAGAAAGTTCTCTGGTGTAGGCCAATCGGTCTCAAAAGACAATGCATATCCCCCCATTGGCTATGGACCAGGACCGGCAGAGCCAATCATCGTGACGAGTTGTGATCCGTCAGCGACCCGAATATATCCTCACATTACACATATATTATCAGAGCATGTTTGTTTGCAAGTTTTGACACAAATGTACATAGCCAACTTCTCTGTGATGGCCTTTCATCACCTCTCACCTATCTCGCCTCTCTTTTTGACCCCCTCCTGCTCTTCATTCACAATCTTCTCTCTGTCTCTCTGTTCACTCTCCTCCCTGTGCCTAATCCCGTTTTTGGTTCAAATCCCTCCTGGCATCCCACCACTGGAATCAACTTCCCCTGTACATTATTCATCACTGCCCATAGACTAACACTACCCATAGACTCAACACTGCCCATAGACTCAACACTTACCATAGACTCAACACTGCCCATAGACTCGGCACTACCCATATATCCAACACTGACCAGAGACCCAACACTGCCCATAGACTCTATACCACACCATGGAATCAACACTGTCTCTGTACATTAAGCAATCCCCCTTCTTAACCCCTTTACATTCCACTCTTAATATCTTAATACTCCACCACTTATAATCATATGGTTTTCCCCTTTTTTCTGGCAACAAAACTGATACCTTTTAACAAGGATTCATGTCTGCATTAACGACAATACTTGCAGTCAAAATGCAAACAAAAAACACTATGATAATATATGCATTGTCCTTGAAACTGATTGGTCCACACCAAGGGACGGCTTTCTCCATCGCCCATTCTCTTCATCTTCCCTCACTCCGCCACCCTGTCCCGTCCCTCCCCTATAGCCCTTTCATGAACTCACGTGCCCTCTGTTATGGTCATTCATTCCTCAGCCCTTGCACTGCCCTTGCCAACTAAATCGCTCTGGTTTTATTACCGATTTTAAACTCTTTAAAGCGCCTTTAGCTAAGATGCTCTAAAAATATAAAATAAGACGCCACTGCGTTGGCAGTGGTGCACAAGCACAAATAACACAAAACCCTCACCGTATTTGTCAATGACAACAACAACACTTTGGCTTTAAAAGGTAAAACAAATTTACATCAGGGTAACATTGCGGGCAATGGTTGTTCTTTGAAGAAGGCCCATTTCCAAAATCGTCACCTCTTGAGTCCACACACCGTGTTTGTTGATGAATGCGTCAGAGTCTGTGTGCAATCCAGTTAACCTGCACATCGCCCGCACATCTCACCACCCAAGTCTGGACTCTCGAACGCTGACCACTATCCCCTCGGTCGGACCCGAGGGGGACGGCAGCTCGAGTTCTGCTCACCTCCGCAGCGTGGAGATGTGAGGAGGGCGTCGGTTCGGTTGAGGTTCAGGTGGCAGAGTGGCTCCCTTGTCCCCCGATGAGGCCCAAGGCAACCGATTCCCCCTCAAACTGCCGTGGTCACTGCGAGCGTCCAGGACAGGACGAGCCGTTTGCGGCTTCCCACAACGCCAGGTCACTTTTTATACTTCTGTAATAAACGTGACGTGGAAAACAAAAACAACACAGCTCTGCCAATGGCACCAAACGACTGTCGCCATCTCCAAGGTGATTATCACGGGCGCCGGCTGCTGCAACGGCATCGCCGGGGGTCAGTTGTGGTGGGTGCAGCTGTCGGTGCGCTGGGTGCCGGTCACAAGGTCGCTTCGCTGAACAGAGGACTACTGAGCAGAGTGCAGTTTACGCTTGGGCCAGCGATTTCTATCAGCGGTGGTAACGCGTGTCTCTTCACAGCAATCAGGGCTTGGGTTCATCGTATTGTATAGTTGGTGTCATAATAATGGTGTACATACAGCATCATTCATGTAAACTGCACAATCCACAAATACACGGAGGTGTATATATATCGAGATGTTTTCAGTCAATTAATGAATGTTTACACGTGTGGATGGAAACCGGAGCACTCGGAGAAAACTCACGCATGTGAGGGGGCAACACTAGATACAGATTAGACAGATAGAGATTAGTCCACATTCTGGCAAGCTGAATTATGGCACCTCCTCGACGTCCATGGGAAGGGAGTTTATCAACATCCGTGTGTGATCCACCAACCCTCGCTGCTGGCTGCAGAGCGCTGGATTAGCAGCCATATGCAGCAGCGTACCCACAACCGCCACCTGCCATGGGATCGATTCCCGACTCTGGTGCCTTTGTTTGGAGTCATGATTTTTAGATGTTGCAGTTTTACCCTGTGATGGACGCATCTGTGTTCACAGTCTGGATAGGTCCACTCAATTCACATGGATCGAAGCCAGAACAGTAGATCTTGGCACTGCAATGTCACAATATTCCCGCAGTTGTAGTTACCAGGAAGAAGTGAGCTATTACTATTGTAGGACCTGTACTGACACGACAGCTTCTTTGTCTTTCTCGGTTCTTTATTAACGCGTATAGTTCACATCTCCGTCGGCATCACTCAATGTCCTTCCATTCTCTTCAACGCACAACTCCCCATCAACATCACTCAATGGCCCTCCGTTCGCTCGCTCCGCTGGCTTCGCTCGCTCTCCCTCTGCTCCTCTCCTCCAGCGACCTCCCTCTCTCCAGCTCGGTCGCTCTTTGTTCTCTCTGCCGTCTCACTCCGTCGTAGCTTTTCCACCAAGGTCCGTTACTCCGCTGCTATCCTATACTGTAGTCTCTTTATCCGCTGCTACCATACTCTGTCTTCTCTTTGTCCACTGCTACCGAATACTATCTCTCTCTGTCCACTGCTACCGTATACTATCCTCTATCCGTCTCTTGTCCCAGGCACCAACCAACTCCCGTTTCTCCCCACGCTCTTTGCCTTTATCCCCGAACCAATTTCCCTTAATCAATTAGATCACCCCCCCCGCTCCTCCATTCGCCCCCAGCCCCCAGCCTCACGTGGTGTTGTTATTGTAGACATCGAGGCGCCAATTCCTGACACCCATCCCTCTCGTCCAATCACCGGCCTGCATCCTCGATTATCCCGAACACCTGCAGGCCCCCCTTAATTACCTTACCACCTTAATCGGTACAATAACAGTGTGTCGCCCTGCTCCCTGTGTCCCCGTTTGCCCTCACTGTCCGCCGCGTGCCCGTATCACAATCCAACGCGTGACGTGTGTTTCTCAAGTCCTACACTATTATTGTTAATGGTTAAAATACCGAATATCTATTTCATTGTAAAACTTTTTCTGAAAATACAGAAATTAAATTCAGTTTATCAGATGACTAATACAAATTTATTCCCAGAAGCTATTGGGATGTCATTTTTGTATACGTTTTCATGTGTAGAGACAAATATGGTAAAGAAGGCATATCATCTGCTAATTTATTTTATTATAAAATCAGAATACCTCAAATGTTCACTGTTTACCACTGTAGGCATGCTAGAGGACTTGTACTGCAACTGCGGACATATTCACTCAGAACCAAACATATCATTATCATTAAAATAACAATGGCCATTATTTACCCAGGAAAGCCTCGTTGAGTCCAGAGATTTTCTCTGGCGTTTACTGCAATCGGGCGAACAATTCAATTAATGTGTTGTTGTCATTGGGCAACTACACAGCCTCATGTGACCCACGGACGTGCGGTAAGGGGAGGCAGGGGAGGCAGGGGAGGCAGAGCCTCACCTGTCATCCAATAGCTGTTACAAAATAAAAATAAAGAATAATCAAATAAAATAAATTTTAAGATTTTTCCACTGATCTGTGTTATAAATGTCATTTATGTACGATTCCAATAATTTTTATAGTCAAAATCGCCAAATTTGTGGAGCTCCGCTGCAAATACAGGAAGAGACGAGAGGTGAGGCAGCAACAAGCTCAGCCTCTCTGATTGCGCAACCCCTCAGTAACTGGATGGAGCGCGGGCAAAAAGCGCGTGCCTGTTACTATCTCAGTATGTCACCAATGTAATGTTTGTAGTAGACCCCTTCATTTCATGTCCTCACCTTCCATACTCCAGGTAACGTATTTCACGTATGTGTATAAAGATATTTAGGCTCGCTGGTCTCGTCATGAAACTGCAATGAAAAAGCACCAGGGGAGGCAGCTATCACATCTGCCTCACTGAGGTGGATGTGTCTAACACGCCCCCTTCAATGAGGCTGCGCCCCCTCCGTGAGGCCACGCCCCCTCCGTGTGTGAATCTGGCTCTGACATAGGCCTCGGCATGGTAAGGTAAAAGTTAAAATGTAAAAAATAACAAGCCTTACCTTTTACAATACAAGCACTCTACCCTACCTTTTACCCTTTAGCAGGTAAGGTAAAAGGTAGAAAGCAACGAGCCTACCTTTACCCTACCTTTTACCCTTACCCCATACAAATGACCCTATTACAGGGTAAATACTGGGGTACTACACATGAAAAAGGTTTATAACGGTAAATGCTAGGTAGAGCGCTTTATACATATAGAATACTCTCGATTCCAATTTTACACGCTTTCTTTGAACTCACTCTGTTGTTGTTGTCGTTGTTGTCGTATCCTCAAATCTTGTAACTCAATTTTAACCCACTTCCCAATGTGGTATCGACTGTAAACTTGGTATACTTATGTCATACTGATGACAATACTATATTATATCATAAAAAAATAAGAAATATATGTTTTTAAACTTTATTTTTTATATGTTATGTTTCAGCTTGGGTGTAATTGTCCACGGTACACTGACATTGGCTGTAATTGGCCACGGTCCGTTACGTTATGGCAAGCTTCGGGGCCATTCCTGGAGTCGCGGAGTTCTGCCATTACTAGTACATTTCATAAAAGCGTGTTTTTTTAAAAGTTTTTTAAAAATATTGCTTGTTAAATGGAGGCCACGGACTGCGCCATGGAGCTTTTAGCGGTAAACAAGGTACCGTATTTACCGGGTAATACTTCGCGCTACCTTTACCCTACTGGGTAATTCTTCCGAGCAACCTTTACCCTACCCTTTACCTTACCTCTTGGCATGTCGACACCTTTACCCTTTTACCCGGTAAAAAGGGTAAATTACCTTACCTTGCCGAGGCCTACTCTGACACTAGCCAGTGCCTCCCCAGCCATTGACCTCACCGCACGTCACTGATGTGACCCCAACCCCACAAAGCCAAGGCAATGTGTGGCATGGCTGCCCTCGTGCGTCACATGAGGATACACAACGCAAGCAGTGGAAACGGTCAGCACAGACTTGGATTGCGCGCTCGTTTCTCGTGAAGTGCATTTTGCGTCTGTTTCTCGCTTTCGTATTGGAGCCATTCTCAGTGCACCAATAGTCCAAGGCCTCCCCACGACACGTGGTCATCGGGGTTTTGTTTTACCGTACTTCACCACGTTTGTCAGTGCAGGTTCACTGAAGGGTTCTGATATTATTCAACTCCACTGATGTTAGCCGCAGTTGGGAATTTAACTCAGATGGCCGGGTCCAATGTACCAGCGCTCCACACTTTGTTGTGTCGATTCACCTTGTGTCACCTTCAATTTAGTGCTCTGCACCGTAATAAAGAGGGTCTTAAAAAGACTACAATCGGACAAGCAAGCGCCCATATATTTTGTCGCTCTCTAAAGCTAACATTAAGGAAGTGGTTTTACAGTCCTAGTAAACAATACAGATTTTTATAGATTATGTTACCTGTAGTTTTGAACTGAGTGTTTTCTTTTATTAACCTAAATATTAAATTCACATCTGTGGATAAACATCAATTACGGAACTACGTTTCATGCATGAGGAAATACAAATGGAGAACACCAGAAAATTCTCTAAAAATATAGATATACATTTTTTTTTCCAACACAGCTGCCATAATGTTCTCATTACAATATCTTGTAGAACATCTCATCGTCCTTCTCAACATCCCAACCAAATGTAACAATTCCAGTAGTATTAATTTTAACAGAATAAGGAAATGTAAGTGTTGTGACACTGTTCCTGTTATCATTCATATTTTTTATTATAAGAACTATGAAATACAGAAGTAGACATAATGTTTGACATTTAATTTGTGAGGGGAAAACACAGTGCACCATCATCATGCATGGTGGCGCAGTGTTAACACGTTACACAGCAATAAGGCGCTGAGTTCGATTCATGACTTGGGCACCTTTCAATGTAGAGGTTGTATGTTCTCCCCCTGTTCTGCATGGGTTTCCACCAGGTTCCCCAGTTTCCTCCCATAGCTAAAATAAACCCCCATACAATGTAACTGGTATATGGCAAAAACATTCCCAATGGTGAAAGCTGCATGCAAATGAGTCACACATAGCAGCATTTCCCCTACTGCGAAAAATTGGCAGGACCTTCCTGAAAAACTCTTGAGACTCTCTGAGGCTTTCCTACATAAACCAGCGTTACAACAATCATCGCCGGCGACTGCAATGTGAAGGCTGGGTAAATGGTACAAAGACGAGAGGAACATATTCGTGGGTTGTCACCAGCAGAGTTGAGCACCTGCTTCAAAATACTAGTTTGCAAAATAGAGATGGAAGAGTCCAAACAGAGAAATTAGAAATAAAAATTACTTCCCATGGACTAAGTTCCAGATTGTCAGTAATGTCACCTTACCCGTTAAAATGCAACTCTAGTGAAGACAGGCTGATCTAATTAGAAGGCAAAGCTAATTACAGCAAGTCCTCGCTTAACGCTTGTTCGCACCACACATTTTCGCTATAACGTGGTTTTTCCATTTGGGAACATTCCGCACAATGCGGAAAATGCACCATTATAATTCGGAACACGCCTCGTTACGCGGAATGCGCACGTTATAATTTGGAACGTGCACCATTATAACGCAGTTTCTAAGCGGTCGATGACGAACTACTTTCTTGATCTGCATGGCTGAGCGGTACAGTGATACAGTACGTGGAATGATACAATAACGCGGTTGAATACCCTCAGTGATTTGTCCCGCCATCTCGCTGTGTGTGCGTACATGTTATCTCGCTAAACTTTTGTCACAACGTGAAATCTACGCGAGCAAGTTGGGGGAATTGGTGGGTGGGGGAATTGGTGGGTGGGGGAATTGGTGGGTGGGGGAATTGGTGGGTGGGGGAATTGGTGGGTGGGGGAATTGGTGGGTGGGGGAATTGGTGGGTGGGGGAATTGGTGGGTGGGGGAATTGGTGGGTGGGGGAATTGGTGGGTGGGGGAATTGGTGGGTGGGGGAATTGGTGGGCGTGGCGAGTGCCAGCCCAGAGAAGCCCACGCCACTGCCAGGCCCTCGTGCGCCATCATCGCTAGTCTCAGCTCGCAACTCCTCTGGGGCCGTGTCGCACGGTCCTCTACCATGCTCGACTGGACCACCGCCGGCTCAACCCGGCAAGCCTTGCTCTCTCCCCCGATGTCCTCCTCTGCATGGGAGGACAGCGCTTCCCCCGAGCGCGCAGGGGCTGCTATCCCGGTTACCGGGGGCTGACTGGCAGCACACGGTGGTGGCTCTCTGCACCAGATAGCTCGGCCGACTCCACGTCTGAGTCCCGAAGTGAAGCGTGGGGGGAGGCTGGGAGCGGAGGGGTGGCCCCGAGCCGCACTCGCCTCAAGTGCAGCCTTCCTGAGGGGTGCTCCTCCCCCTCCGAGTGCATCGGCATACACTACCAGCTCATTATCCCACACCTCGGCTGGGAAACCAGGGGCTAATATTCCGTCTCGCATCGTTGAGTAGGGAGTGCCCGTGCGATTGTTGCTTTGTGTGTGTGCTTCTACGCTTGTATGTACCTATATGTAACCAGCAACTTGCTTAGTTTCCTGCCACTGTCCACAGTACTTGCGATGTTCTTCATCAACAAATGGTGACAATCAAAATGTCAGTTTCTAACTTGAAGGCAAAGAATTCTCCTGGTTTGCCATCTGAGTTTGATCAACCTGGAATCCATGCAAAACTCGAGACCCTGGCACCAACGTCGGTGGCACAGGTGTTGATGTTCATTGCACTTCTGCCAAATAAGACATCACCATTCAAGGTTCGGTGTATCGGGTGGATTGAATGATACCTGCATGGTCAATCACAGTTCGTCAAGCTGGGTGATAGACAGTCATCGTCTATGCCGTGCCTAGTTGATGTACCACAGGGGACTGCCTCGGGCCCTTCCTATTTTGAACAAACGTCTCTCTGATCGCCGATGTCATCTCATCGCATGACAAAGTGCCATCAAAATGCTGATGCACACCATAGTGAAGTCAAAGTTAGATATGGAGAGCCTCGGTATCCTTCAAGATTTCACGTGAGTGGTGCACGTGTGGTTTGCATGAAACGAAATTTTTCTTAATCCAGAAAAATCGGAGGTTCTGCTTGTTGGCACTCAGACTCAGGTGAAAAAATATGTGGGAGGATCAGTCGTGGCGGTCGCAGAATCTGGGATTCAGTTTTCTACTCATCTAAAGAGTCTCAGTACCATACTCGACCGGAATGTCACGTGCATAATATAGTCAGGTCTTGCAATTTTCATATCAGAGCTCTACGACACATTCAACCACTAATTAGTTGTGACATAGCCAACATGGTGGCGTGTATCGACAAGGATCGATTATAGCAATTCACTACTCTCGAAGACATTTGGCAAAAATATTACCAAGCTGCAACATGTACATAATTCTTTGGCACATGTGACGAGTACTGTAACATTCGACAATGTCTGTCCAGTGCTCGCCAAGCTGAATTGGCTTCCAGTTGCCCAATGAAGACATTATAAGGTCGAACCCAGACACAACGTGTTTGGCACGTTTAACCTACTCACGCCGGCTTGTGCCCGCCCTCACAGTCGGGCATATTTGCGGAATACACCACGCCGCCGTTGACCCTGCAGGCCATTGACCGAGCAGCCCAACGTTCCTACCAGCTCCCTTTGCAGGAATGTGTTTTAAGGGCACCACGGGGTGACCAGCCCCTCCCCACCCAGCCCCACCCAGCCCCACTCTCCCCACCCAGCCCCTCCCCACCCTCCCCTCCCCACCCAGCCCCTCCCTACACGACGGACGGACGGACACAATAATCCCCTGTGGGCTGGTGGAACCTGTGGGTTCCTACCAGTAAAATTATTTTTTATATATTATGTTTCGGCTTGGGTCTAATTGTCCACGGTCAACTGACGTTGGCTGTAATTGCCCACGGTCACTTACGTTATTGGCAAGCTTTGGGGCCACTTCCTGGAGTCGTGGAGTTCTTCCATTACTAGTACATTTTATAAAAGCATGTTTTTTTAAAGTGTTTTTTTAATATTACTTATTACGTCAATGCTGTGAAACTACAGGGCGCCTGACCTGTCTGGCAACTTTCCCCACTCGTGGGGGTTGCTGCCTTTCTGGTTCTCTTCGAAACACCTCTCGTGCTGCCTCGCAGATCTCCACCCTGGTTCGTCCATGCTCATCACCTTTCTACTTCCGATGTGGTTTTCCTCATTGTTTTTACGAATCATCCCCGCACCTCCGATTAATACGGTTGGCTACGTACGGAGCGAAAGAAGTTCCACATAGTACATGCATTCAAACGCTACAGAAACACAACGAAATGGATATTATCACTTTAATGAGTTTCTTCGCTTGGGTGCAGAGTTGGGACTGTTCTTGGATGATGAGACTTAAGAGACTACTGTGTTGTGATAACTTTGTTGTTTTTGTTGGTGCTATTTCTTGAATTGTTTATTTTCTGAAGGATTTCACTTGCTTGCTAGTTCCTATAAACAGGATTTGGCCCATATATATAATTAGTGTGCAGCATTGTGGTATGCAATTAACATGACACTACAAATGTTTTTTTTTAAATAACATTGCCTTAAGGATAAATATATAAAAGGGCGATGTTCAAGTGCGATGAAGGGCGATTGCCAGTAACGTCGCATGCAATATTTATTTTTAAAGGTCGCAGTGTTTTTGGCGAATGTCTTTTTTTTATCAGGGCATTCAGAACACCTACGCGCGACTTTACACCGACCGGTCGTTCTCTGCGCACTTTTGACCTCCCAAACATTACGGAACCTACACCACCGGTTTCCCAATTGAGATTCCGTGCTGCATTCAACGTACTCTGCTGAATTAACAATTTCAGCGATTGCCTTAATATTTGACCGATAAACTGCAGCTTCACAAACTCTCGGGAGTCGGGAGATCCTCACATCGTGACCACACTCAACCACGATTTTAGCAAAGTTTCGAAACTCTGGAATTTTTGTTCCTTGGCCCAAATATTTGGAATGCTCTCTGCCTGGAGAACTGCACCTGATCACCAAGATTCTCCAATTTAGAAACTTTAAATCTACTAATTTCCTATATGTTAACTAGAGATGTTTTTTTTTCTTTCCTTCCATCTCTCTGTACAATGCTCAGAAGCCCTTTGTAAGGTCTGCTGTGCCTTGTAAAAACGTTAATAATTGTCATGGACAGGGAACTAAAAGTGAGGGCCAAAAATAATAGAACAAGTGATGTGAAACCACAGAATATTGCAGAAACATGTCAAAAGAAGAAATTGCAAACCATTGAAGGCACACTGCTACACAGAATTAAAGAGAATACACAGAAACGGAGAACTCGCGCACAACGGATGTATTTTCTTAAAAGAACAAATGAAAAGTGAAAACAAATGGAGTCGTGAAAAGTAAAGGCGACAATAAAGCAGCAAGAACCTGATAGTCGACATTTGGCAAACCGCAAATATTCACCCTTCGAGAGCTACGTGAAACCATCAGGCACTTTCAAATCTCGATTAAAACTAATTTTTTTTAAACTGCTTTATCCGTTTTGTTGTCCAGCCCCGCACCTCTCGATTAGCATGATTGGCTACGTACGGTGCGAAAGTTCTACATGCAGGCACGTCATGGTGTCAAAACACTCCTGCAGATCTTTGCAGAAAAAAACAATTCAATACAAGTTAACCGTTTGGGCGGCAGGATGGTGGCACAGTGGTGGTGTTCGTGCCTTAGCATGGAGGAGCTGTTCAATTTCGACTCCGGTGCCTCTGTGTGGAATCTACATGGGTTTTCTTTCATAGGTAAAACAACAAACTGGCTAAACATCCCAATGCTGAAAAAATACTAAATTACACATCGCAACGCCGCCCCCTACTGTGAAAACTCGACAAACCCCCTGAAAACGTCTCGAGTCTTTGTAACGGCCATATTTTCTGCAGATTTGTCCATTTTCAGGCAACACAATACACAGGTCCGAGGTGTTTCATTTATTTACACTGGTGCTACATTTCATCACATATGCCACAAAACAGCATACACTGAAATATGATGTAGCCAAACAGACACATAGGAAGTACTGCCAAAGATGTCTCGACTTGTTCAACATCAGCGGCTTGGCAAAGCTGAGGTTTTCCTTGAAAGACACGATCACGCAATGGTTGGTTGCAATATCAACCAAGGACGTGCAAGCAGCGCACTCGCACATCCACACACCTGCACACAGCACACATCCACACACACTTCCACACATACTCCTCCGTACAACGCGCACACACATCCACACACTCCTACAACCAGACAAAACAAATACAAAGATCCCCCCCGTATAGCCTTAACAGGCTGTTGGGGCAAGTGCTGTTCGTGAGCACCTATAACGGCCAACACAGTACACTCCTACAACCAGATCACACACATCCACACTCCTCCACGCAGAGCAGACATCCACACACTCCTCCGTGCAGTGCACACACACTCCACCGAGAGCACAAACCTCCACACACTCCGCTGTACAGCGCACACGCCGACACACATACACCCCTCCTCCCAAGAGGCCACACTAAATGCGCTACAAACCAGACTCTCTCAACCCTTTCACCGGCCAAATGACTTAAACCCTACACCACCCAGCAATTTTTTTTTCATTCTCGAATCTTGGGTCAGTTGAAATTTTGGTAGACGTTTTCAGAATGAATGATTGGTGAATGACCCTAGTTGTGTATATTTCCACAAAACAAACAGTAGCAGACAATCTATGTGTGTATTACCCGCTATGAACCTGGTGACCCGAGTTCCAATCCCACTGACGGCCAACACCAGTGACAATTATTTGAACTAGTCCTGGGCCTCCTATAGGTCGACTTAACCTCAAATCAGCACCTGGTGAGGTGTAAACATTACCACTAGAGACAAAAGCAGTCTGGCGTGCTGTTGGCTAACCACCCCCCCCACCCCCATCGTTCGCAGTGCCAGCTTTCATAGGTGCTCATTAACAGCAGTTGCCCCAAGAGTCTGTTAAGGCTATTCGGGGGGTCTGTGTTGCCTTACATTCGCTGATGTAGAATATCTGGCCTGGTCCACAGGAGGGCATCATCACCACCGAGTCTTGAGGAGAGACAGGAGGTGGCTTTAAAAAGAGTCAAGTTCAAGGGAGGTGTACGGGGGGGTGGAGGGGGGGGTCGTGCCCATGGCACGCAGCACGCATCAGGTTCCACAGTAAAGCAGTCCACAAGCGGCAGGGGGGTCACGCGAGCTGCAGAGAGCCCAGCATCTCAGCGAGGCGCAGCTCACGCTCGTGGCTCTTGGCCCGCTTCTGCAGCCAAGCCTGCAGCTCCGCCGACAGCTGCCCAGCCTCATGTACGTCCACGTCCGCGGCCCCCCCGCGTCTCCCCGTGACCCCCCCTTTCCTCGCCGCCTCTCCCTCAGAGGAGCAGGCCGAGACGCCATCGGCCGTCCCAGGGTTCGGTGACGGTGCGGCGGACAGCAGCGTCATCGGGCCCCGGCAATAATAGACCTCGTTGACCTCCTCGGGGATCGTGACATAGGAGACCCAGGAGAAGGCATCCTTGAGCGAGGAAACCGTGGTCTGCTTGAGCGCCGGGTCCCGGCAAACCAGGTTCAGCATGAAGAGACCTGTGCCCAACACAGCCGCAGCGGCGGGAGCAGCAGAAAAGAAAAACGCTGAAGACCGGTACCAGCGGTGTCAAGAGGAGGAGGCTCGTGAAGGTCGCTACTAAGCAGTTGGAGGCAGTCACCCTGCAACAACAGCGGGGGCCGGAGAAGCGATGCTCGCAACGGGCGGAACGTAGAGTGGCTAAAACACAGCAAATTGGCACAGTAGAGGGCACAGGTGGTGCATCTGACAGTCATCTGTCAACTCATAGCACCTGTATCCGTCCCATAACATCCCAGCAGTGAGCTTGACACTTCATGTGGTATCAAGGTGCACCTAGCTTGGTACAAGCACCATGGTTATGTCACCGCCACTTAGTGTGAAATGGCGGTTGTTGTGGCAATAGTGGTGTGTAAGAGTGAGAGTGGTGTGTAAGAGAGTGGGTGTGTTGCTGCTCTGGAGACCAGGAGTTCGATGATCGATATATCACTATGTAACACGATTTTTGTCCATGGGTAGTAAGTGTTATTTTTATTTATTTCTTATGCCTAAAAAGTATAGAAAATGGCTATTCCCCACAAACTTTGCTTTTGTGACCAGGACTTTATGTGAAGTATTGACACAAATGCACACGTTTTCTCATTGGAAATAGGTACATTTCAAAATATCACCGTCCTGGTCACAAAAGCAAAGTTTGTGGAGAATAATAGCCATTTTCTGTATATTTGAGGCATAAGCAATTAGGAAATAACATTACCCAGTGAAAAAATGTTTTTTTTGTTACACTGTATTCGGTCGTTGCGTTGATAGCATTCGTCGTGATTTCTCACTTAAGTGGGCTGCGTGAAGGCAGCCATCTTCCACTCAAAGTGATAGTGGTGAGTGTGTGAGAGTGGTGTGTGAAAGAGAGTGGTGACTGTGTGAGAGTGGTGTAACTGGAGTGGTGAGTGAATGAGAGTGGTGAGAGTGAACCGTGGGAATGGTGATACTGGAGAGTGGTGTGTGAGAGTGGTGTGTGAGAATAGTGCGGGTGTGAGAATGGTGAGTGTGTGAGAGTGGTGAGTTTGAATGAGAGTGGTAAGTGTATGAGAGTGGAGAGTGTGTCAGAATGGCGTGAGTGGTGTGTGAGAATGGCGTGTGAGAGAAGAGTATGGGGAGCAGTAGTGTAGCGGTTAGCGTGCTGCACTACGAAGCCGGCACCCAAGTTCGATTCGTGCTCACGGGCAACACCAGTGATGAATATCTGAACCTGTCCTGGGCCTGGTGTAAACATTGCCACTAGGGAGACAAAAGCGACCGGGCGTGGTGCTGGTCACGTACCCCCTCGCCTTCATAGGTGCTAACGGCACTTGCCCCAACAGTCTGTTAAGGTTAAACGGGGATCTTTGTCTTTTGAGTGGTGTGTGAGTGAGAGTGGTGTGTGTGGTGAGTGAGAGTCGCGTGTGAGTGAGTGAGAGTTGCGTGTGAGTTAAAGTGAGTGAGAGTGGTGAAAGTAGTAAGTTTAGTGAGTGCGAGTGGTGTGCGATTGAGTGAGAGTAGTGAGCGAGTGAGCGGTGAGTGTAGTAAGAGTGGTGAAAGTGGTGAGCGAGTGAGAATGGGGAGCGAGATTGGTGAGCGACTGAGAGTGTGTGAGTGGTGAGCGTGTAGTGAGAGTGGTTTGTGAGTCAGAGAGTGGTGAGCATGTGGTGAGTGAGAAGTGGTGTGCGATTGAGTGGTGAGTGAGATTGGTGAGTGACTGAGAGTGATGAGTGCGAATGAGTGATGAGCTCGTGGTGAGTGAGAGTGGTTTGTGAATGAGTGGTGAGTGTGTGGTGAGAGTGGTGAGCGAGAGAGTGGCGAGTGAGAGAGGTGAGTGAAAGCGGTGAGTGAGAGTGGTGAGGGAGAGTGGTGAGGGAGAGTGGTGAGCATGCGGTGAGCATGTGGTGAGCGAGAGAGTGGTGAGCGAGCGTGGTGAGAGCGGTGAGTGAGAGTGGTGAGTTACCGTGCGGGCCGATCAAGGAGCCCACGTCCCGGAGCAGCGCTGGCTCCACGAAGGCCGCTGGGGGGCAGCTCATGCCGAGCGCCGGTTCCTTGCTGTCCACATCAAACAGCACCGCGTCCAGTGCCGGCTCGCCTGCACAGCACACGCGTAACACTAGCAACACACACGCAGCACACATGCTAGCAACACGCTAGCAACACGCAAGCAGCATGCTCGCGGCAATCTCACAGCAGGCTCACAACACGCTCTCAACACGCTAGCAACACACTGGCAAACAGTTCGCAGCTCGCTCGCAACACGCTCGAAAACACACTAGCAACATGTGAGCAACAAGCTCCCAGCACGCTTGCCGCACGCTAGCAGCACACTCACAACACGCTCGGAGCACACTCACAAAACGGTTAAAACACGCTCTCAACAGGCTAACAGCACATGAGCAGCACACAATGTGTGGTTCCGCGGTGCCCAGCGACGGCCATTACCGCGAGCGGCCATGGCCCGGATGTGAGCAACGCCATCCCCGACCACCACGTGGGCGCGCTCGTCGCCACAGAAACCGAACCACTCGGACGCCACGGCAACCACCGCCGGGTCGATCTCCACGACGACGAGGGAGCAGGCCGGGAAGAGGCGGTGCAAGAAGAGCGGCAGGGAGCCGCCGCCAAGGCCAACCAGTAGCACGCGGAACGCGGCGGCTGTGTCCGGCGCACGCAGAGCAATGCATGGACGGTACATCAACATGGCGCATCAACATGGAGCAACACGGAGCAACTTTAACACGGCGCAATGTCAGCACATCAAAGAAGAGCCACGTCAACATGGCATCAACACGGCGCGTCAACACAGCGGAGCGACGCGCAAGAGGCATGGGGCGTGAGGGAGAGCCAGCAGGGTATGGAAGGCAACGGGCGTGTGCGCAGGCCCATTCATTGAGACACGCAAGCGGCGGGCGGCCGTGCAGGCCACTGGGCCGGTACCTGGCTCGAGGCGCAGCAGGGCGAGGCCGCCCACCATTGCCTGGTGGTGATCGCAGGAGAGGAAGGCGGCATCGATCTCCGTGCCGTCCGCGGTGCGCACTGCTGCGGCTCCTCCCGGCTCTGCTCGCCGTCCCGGACTCTTCTTTTTGTTCTTCTTCTTTGTCGCCAAGGCAGTGCCTGCGGAAACATGCGCAGCACCTGTGGAAACATGCGCAGCACCGCTGGCACTCGTGCCTCGCACCAAGGAGGACCCGGGTTCGATTCCCGACTCGGGCATCTCTCTCGTCCCCACGTGGTTAGCAAACCCCGCCATTGTATTTGCGATTTGCACTCCATTCCCGCGCACGTGGTTAACGCGCTCGGTGCCACTCGGCTAACTGGGTGGAGCGTGACTTGATCGTTACGTTCCTCCAATGTGTTCGTTACTCGGTGTGTGCGTGTGTCCTACTGGAGATCTGTGAAAAAGAGCTTCAAAGCTCACCAGATTCCTCCAGTGTAAATAAAAATTGTGATTCTGATTCTGTGTGTCCGTGTGCGAGTGTCCATGTGTGAGTGTGTGTCCATGTGTGAATTTGCATGTGAGTGTTCATGTGAGTGTGCGTGTCCATGTGCAAGTGTGCGTATCCATGTGAGAGTGTGCGTGTCTGAATGAGTGTACATGTCCGTGTGCAAGTGTGTGAGTGTGCCTATCCGTGTGCGAGTGTGCGTGTCCATGAGTCCATGTGTCCGTGTGCGAGCGTGAGCGAGTGTGAGCACACACTGGGCATGAGCCTGGCCTCAGACTGGATGAGGTTGGGGTTGGAGAGGAAGAGGAGGCGGCGGTAGCGGCGCGCGTCTTCGGCCGTCACGTCCTCAACCACCATCCCGGCCGCCTGCAGCCGTACCGCGCGTTCACCCAGCCCTGCCCCGGGGCCCCCGGCTGACAAGAATGGCACCTGAACGCCCGCGCGCACGCACAGACAAACATCCACAAGGTTTTGTTGGGTTAGATCGCAAAAATATAACTGTGTCGTTAAACCCGCTGCTACCACACAATACAGTCAAATTAGTAAGGTTTGTCACATAAACAAAATGTGCCAATTAATTACTGCTTCAACACACTGGTGTGTTGGGGAGTAAATCCACAACATTTACAATTCGAGTATGACATTTCGCTGATGATTACAACCAGGCGATTAGCCATAATTGTGAAGAAGTATTCCTGTTTCGGTCTTAAATAGAGTAAAGATGATGTCACCGCTGTGAGCTTATTAGGCGCGAGGACCAGAGGGTAGGGTTAATGTAGTCATAGAAATGACAATGGCTGGTATTACCCTTGCATATCTGCATCTTATGAGGAATGCCAGTGAAGACATCAGTTTTACCCGCTTGATGCGGAGTTTCTCCAATTTTCTGGTTTCAAGAAAAGTATCCTCCCCTGAAGTTAGCCAGTTTAACACGCAAGGTTTTGCGACCAATATTATCCATAAAGGTTTTTTGGGTTAGATCGCGTAAATATAAATGTGCTGTTCCGCAATGTAACCAAAAAAACTTTATGGATATTAAACTTAATTTGGAGCTTTCGTGACTGCAGGAATTATTCCTTGCTAGGTTAGTTAATTTAGTGTGTCTCTCCCTGCCTCCTAATTTTTTCAAGCTTTCGTACCGTACCACTCATCGTGCTACTCATTGACATGCTAATTTCTCTAACCCCTCTCTCTTCGCCCCTGCCCCCCTCTCTCAAGCTTTTTACACCTTGCCACTCACCGTTTCCACTCATGGACATGATAATTTCTCTAACCCCTCCCTCTCTCCCCGCCCCCGCCCTCCCCTTTCTCTATTTAAGGCCTCGACACAGAGGCATAGTTTCTTTTTATGCCTATGTTTGCTCTCTCTCTATGTATCTCTGTGATATCTGTCTGCTTATATGTCTGTCTATGTTTCTGGTTCTGTGTTTAATCTCTCAAATTTAGCATTCTCAGGAAGAACGTAATCAACCAGATAGGGTGTTGACTTATGTTATCCGACTCTCTGTTGTATTACATTACATTTCTAAGTATACTAGATTTGTGTTTCTATTTAATTTATACCTGATGATGATTGCTGGTGTTGCAATCGAAACGTCGTATGCTAGTATTTAATTTAATTTATTATTTTATCTTTATACGTGACTTTACCGAAAGAACCAAAGAATAATTTATGGATATTGGTCGCGAAAACTGACAAAGATCCCCCAAGGACCATTTACAGACTGTAGGAGCAAGAGCTGTTAACGATTAGCGCCTATGAATGCTGGCACGACACACGAGGGGTCAGGTAGATGGCCAGCACCACGCCCTGCAGCCTTTGTTTCCCCAATGGTGATGTTACACATGGTACACAAGGTATGCATTACAAAGCGGAGTCGACCTAAGGGAAGCCCAGGACCGGTTCAGATGTTTGAGGGGCGATTCACGACACGCAGGTCTCTCTCCGGCGCAGTCTGTCCAGGCACCGCCTGCACCACGTGTCGCGAGCCTCACCTGCTGGCGACGGGAGGAGAGGCCCGGCGGCGCCAGCTGCATGACAGGGCCCGAAAGCTCGGCCTGCACTGCCTCCATGCCGCCCGCGTAGTCCTGGCCCCGGTGCAACGTGGCCACCACCAGCCGGCCAAACCCCGCCGACGCCGCGAGCTGCCGCCGGCCCTCACGGGAGCCGAACAGCCACTCGCTCTCACGGCCCTGGGGCACTGCACACGTGGGGGCAGGGGTGGGGCAGGGGTGGGGCAGGGATGGGGGGGCAGGGGTGGGGGGCGATCAGATTGGCTCACGTGCAGGGACCGGATTAATTGTTCACTTTTCGAGACCGTGAGAGATGTTGGGCGGCTCGGGGAGGCCTTCCTCCGGCAGATCGTGGATACTAACGACCAGAATGATAATGGATAACTTTGTCAATTAACAATTGTTTAGTATTTCATTTGTACTGACTTTTTTTATTGTCGATCTCATTTGTTTTTAAAGCATTCAACCCAAAGGTAACGAGCGCTTCCAGCCCCAGACTCCTGCCCCTGTAGTAAAGATGCCGAGCAAAGCCACCCAGAGGGAGAGCAAAGTTACCGAGAGGGAGAGCGAGGCTACCGAGAGGGAGGCGAACGAGCGAGTGGAGGAAGTACGTGTGATCGTGCGTCACGACTGTGCTTGCTCAGTGCCACACCAATGAAGATGGCGAAGGCTTTCCCGGGCGGTGAGGGCCGGCGGTCCACCACGTGGAGCGAATAACGTGGGGAGCTTGCCCCAGGTGCCAGGAGGTCGAGTGAGCAGTCCTCCCCAGCACCCCCCGGACGCTGCAGCCGACTCCTCACAATGGCCAAGAGCTGGTGGTCCTGCACAGCACTTAGCAGCCACTCCGAGCTCTCCAGCCTAGACACACAGCACTGACACTACAGCCTGGGCACACACAGCACTAACACTACAGCCTGGAAACACAGAATTAACTCTACTAAATTACTATTTTTATTTTACCAGGTAAGGCCCAATAGCTCTTTTTCAGAAGTGACCTGCCCACAAATGATAACCCAATTAAGTGGCTTATCATGTGGAAATTTAGAGAAGCCAAATACTCCAAAGACATATTTCTAAATGTGGAGGGAAAAACCGTGGAGCTGGAGAAAAATACACTCGACCACGAGGAGAACATGCAAACTCCAGATATAGAACAGGCGTCATGGTCGCGATCGAACTCACAACCTTCTGTATACCAGGGGAGGTAGTTAACATCTCTCCACCGCGGCGAGTGTGGGTACTGGGTGAGTGAGTGAGTGTACCGGGCGAGTTTTGGGTACGAGGTGGGTGAGTGTGGGTACCGTGTGGGCTTGCCACCACCTTGGCTGTCCAGGCAGAGCTCCAAGATGGGTGGCTGCGCTGGACCGGGCAGCCTGTGGAAGCGTGTGAGCACCACGAGAAAGACCGGCATGCTGGGCCCGGTGTGCTCGGTGGAGCCGGCAGGGCCGGCGGGGGCCTGTGGCAGCACGTGCACGCGTACCGGCCAGCCCTCGACGGTGCTGAAGTGCTCTACCAGCATGCGCAGGATGTGCTCCTGGGCCAGCGACACACACAGGTACCGCCCTCCGAACTGGCGGGCACATGCAGCCAGAGACACGAGCAGAGGACGGGTGCACGCAGGCAAAACGCTCAATGCATTGATTCAAATCAATTACGAGCCACGTACTGAAGTTTAATTCTAGCCGAGCTCATGTACTGTCATGCTTCAGTTGTATCGTCGACATCACTCCCACACACATGAATACGCTCGAACAAAGACGGCACAAGGGGGTGCACTGTATTGTAACTTTAAAGTCTTCTTTTATTATGAATTAAACGTCATACGTTGGTAGCCTGGGACACATCCCAGGTGTGTAGCTATGGGGGGGAAGGAGGGAGCACCTGTAGCACGCGGGAGATCTCAGAGAACATGCGCGTCACGGTGAGGAGCGTGGGAGGAGATGAGTCTGGCATGAGTGCGTCCAGGGTGCCCTTGTCCAGCACCACCTGCTCACACACACACACACAAAGGCATTACCACTCAAAGACAAAGATCCCCCATATAGCCTTAACAGATTGTTGAGGCAGCGAGCACCTATGTAGGCCAGAACAGCACACGAGGGGGTGGGTGGCCAGCACCACGTCCGACCGCCTTTGTCTCCCCAGTGGCGATGTTTACACACCGCACCAGGTACTCATTTGAGGCTGAGTCGAACTAGGGGAGGCATCAAAACTCACAGGACACAAACAAGGGCATCACCATTCATACAATGGCAGTGCCAGGTTTCACACAAACTGCACCTGGAAGGAGCCGTCGTCAAAGTCCATGGCGGTGACATCCATGACTCGGAAGTCGAGGTCGGGTCGCCGCTCGCGCATCACCCTGATGGCCGTCTCGCTCACGTCCACGCTCACCACACTCTTGGCCACGCCGGCGTCATGCACTCGCTCGCTCAGCTCCGAGTTCCCGCAGCCAACCACCAGCACCTGCCAAAATCACCACATAGCCACACAGGAGTCATCCCCCTACAAAGCCACCCACACAGGAGCTACACAGGAGCCAAACCCCACCCAGCCACACAGGAGTCACCCTCCCACCGAACCAGCCACACAGGAGCCACCCAGCCATACAGAAGTCACCCCCTCCACCCAGGCACACAGCAGCCACACAAGAGCCACATGCACAGTTAGTACGGCCGTGGCAAGAGTGCAGCACGGACAGTACAGGAAAACCTCAACTGAGGCGTGTCAGGTTTTTTGGAGCACGGTTGCAAAGTTTGCTGCTGCTCTTTTTGTAATCCCAATTGAGCAATTTGCAGGCAATTTGTCAGCATTGGGGCACCACGGTGGCGAAGATGTAAACTCACCCAGTACCCATACTCGCTGCGGTTATGAGATGTTAACTCCCTCCCCTGGTATGCAGGAGGTTGTGGATTCGATCCTAACCCTGACGCCTGTATATTTGCATTTTGCATGTCTCTCTCCCCGTGTTTGCATGGATTTTTCTCCGGATCCTCCAGTTGTTTCCTCCGCATTTAGAATCAACATCACGCGTTTAGAGCAGGGGCGGTTTCTTCATTAGGGCGATTGGGCGACGCACCACCAATGTCATTGAACCACAGAGTCACGCTAGCCGTCACTGCAGCCTCTGGATATAGTCCAATCAGCGTCATGTCACGTTCTGTGGAGTACCGCCTCTTTTTGGGCGATTTCACTCTGGCTGAGAATCGCCCCGAGTGGCCCCATAGACTTACATTCAAAGATGTTTTTTTTCGACCGGGGGGCGCTCCAATGCATTCTCTATGGCTTCCGGGAGGGCTCGCCCTAACGTGCTTACGTCATCATACGTGCTTACGTCATCATACGTAAACACGTTTCATCCAACAATATAATTTGTGGCCAGCTAGTGGAATCTTTAATAAAATAAACTTGAGTGGTTTGTTTTAATAGTGAGTATAGAAACAAACAAGATGTATTGTAAGAGTCACTTTATTTTTCATTAATATTAAAGAAGTGAAGTTGCCTTTACATGCTTAAGCTGTTAATTTATCCATTGCATGGGTGGACCTTATCCTTATCAATCATCCAGACATTTGCCCCCCCTGAGAGATTTTGCAGGAACCGCCACTGGTTTAGAGTATTTGGCCGCTATAAATTTCTACATAAGCCACTTTCAACTGGTACAAAAACTGACACCTTTATACAATGCATCATGTTTGCAATAACCACAACACAAGCAGTCAAAATGCAAACAAAAAGAAACAACTCTGATAATGATATGCACTGTCCTTGAAGTTGATTGGTCCACACCCGAGACAGCTTTTCTTAGAGCCTAGTCTCCATTGGTGTTGGACCAGATGACGCCAAAAGGCATTTTGGCGTCATCTGGTTCACGTATGTGTATACAGATGTTTAGGCTCGCTGGTCTCGTCATGAAATTGCAATGAAAAAACACCAGGGGAGGCAGCTATCACATCTGCCTCACTGAGGGGGGCGTGTCTAACGCGCCCCCCTCCGTGTGTGAATCTGGCTCTGACACGAGCCAGTGCCTCCCCAGCCATTGACCTCACCGCACGTCCTTGGTCCACACGGGACGTGTAAGGGTGACCTGGGTAGAGGGGATTTCCAGACTGATCACAGGACTACACAGCCATGCAAGCTACAACAATCTGAAACGTTACACAGATGTAGGGTGCATATAGCCAAAAGCAACCCAAATTCAGTAATTTTAAAGTCATTTATCAGCATTTGGATGTTTGACCAATACCAATTAAAATGTATGGGAGTATATTTAGCCATCGGAGGAAGCCGAAGAAAACTGACCAAACCCATGCAGAGCAGAGGGAGAGAGATCACACAAACTCCACACAGTAAGGCGCCCACGTCGGAGGCCACGGGTGTCACCACTACTCCACACGCCCCGCAACCCCCGGTCATACGAACGTGGAATGTCATCATCAGTGGAATGTCATCATCAGTGGAATGTCATCATCAGTGGCTCCGCGGGGCTGTGAACCTGGTCGCTGGGCTTCACGTAGCGTCGCAGCAGCCCCGCCAGCTCCTCGTAGGAGCCGTACCACTCGAAGGCGTCGTCCCCGCGCCGCTCGAAGAACCTCTCCCAGTAGCGCGCGCTGCTGAAGTCGCGGTGGCTCCGCGGCAGCAGCTCCATGGTGGGGGGGGGGGGGGGCACCGGGCGGGTGGCGCGCCGCCTCGCGGCCGGCAGGGAACTCAGGCAAGCAGCGGGGGTAGGGAGAGGGAGCCCGCCCCAGCAAGGCCCTGGTCTCGAGTCGCAGCGCTTGCGAGCGCTGTGCAAAGTTGTGCGAGACTGGGGATAGACGGCAGTCGCCTTCAGTCGCGACGACAAACCCGGGGCGACTGTTCCCTGCTCACGTCCTTACCACGACCACCACAACAACCAACAACCACCAACAACAACCAGCAGCAGCAGCAGCAAAGCCACATGGACGCGAAACAGCGGAAGCACGTGGGCGGAAGCACGTGGCACTGAGGGGTGATGGATGATGGACAGCTCATGCAGAAGCATTAAGAATATATGTATTTGTCTTTTGCCCGTCCTAGGACGGGTGTATTTCAGTAAATCTGAAACTTGCAAGCGAAAAGCAGACCGCGACGTGATATTCATTGCATCAATTCGTGTGCAATTTGTAAGGCTGCGGTGACACAGACTTATTTCATTTTAAGGTTATAATCTCTTCTTCTTGGTTCTTTCGGTAAAGTCACGTAGAAGGGAAGTAATAAAATAATACAAATAAAACATAATAAAATAATTCTCACGACGTTTCGGCCACAACGTAAGCAGCCGTCCTCAGGTGAAGACCAGGTCTGTCTCCCCGACAGACCTGGTCTGCTTGCGTTGTGGCCGAAACGTCGTGAGAATTATTTTATTATGTTTTATTTTTATTATTTTATTACTTCCCTTCTACGTGACTTTACCGAAAGAACCAATAAGATGAATCCCTGCAGTCACGAAAGCTTTAAATCGAAGTTATAATCCCTTGTTCATCATGTCTCAAAAGCGTTACGGAGATCGCGTGACGTGAGGGTTCTGCCTTTGTAATGAGGGTTGTAAGTTGACGCTGAGGAGGGGGGAGGAGGCGCCTCATATTCACTTTAAGATGTTTTCTTGTTCATGTTTTTGTGTTTTGTTTGTTGCGGTTGCACCCGATTCAAGAGCCGAATGGCTCACAGGGCTGCACCTAATCAATGCACTTGAATGAGGGGGGCTGGCCGACGTGAAGTGACGTCACGCGCGGGACACACAGACATTCTTGGCTTATTATTATTATAGTAGTAGTACATACCGGAGGAATCCGATCCGATGAGCGAAAAAGCTATTTTCCACAGACGTTCAGTCGGGGTAAGGCAGAACAACAACACATACACAAACACGATATGAGTTCAAAGTATAGGAAATGTAAATAAATCATCCATACTAGGTTTTTTTGGGTTAGATCGCATGATTACGCGATCTAACCACAAAAAAACTATCTTATGGATTATATTGGTCGCGAAAGCCTATGTGTTAAACAGTAAATAAATAACTTCTAAATATATACAAATCAAACTAAACAATGTTTATTCTTTCCAGGTAAAGCCGACTGAGCTATTCGCTTCTTTTTCAGAAGCGACCTGGCTCAACGACGTGGCTTATCATGTGGAAATGTATAGCAGCAAAAGAATATAAATAATATAAACGCATATTTCTGAACGTTATTTATCGTCACGCTTGTTCACTCATGGCAGCCCCACTGAGGCTCGTATCTTTCTCACGAGAGAGGGTCCTGCCAAGTTTTCGCAGTAGGGGGCAATGTTGCTACGTGTAATGCTAATTGAGTAATTAACAGGTAAACTAAACTATTTATTTTTATTTTGCAGGTAAGGTCCACTGAACTATAGTATAGCGCTTTCTCAGAAGCGACCTGGCCACAAATGATAACTCAACGAGGTGGCTTATCATGTAGAAATATATCGCAGCCAAATACTCTAAATGCATGTTTCTAAATGTGGAGGGAAAAAAACTGAAGGACCCAAAGAAAAATCTACACGACCACGGGGAGGACATACAAACTCCAAATATACAGCAGGCGTCAGAGTCGGGATCGGGATCGGACCCACGACCTCCTGTATACCAGACGAGGTAGTTAACATCCCGCCAACGTGGATGTTTGACCAATACTAATTGCATTGTATTTGGGGTTTTTTTTTAGCTTGGGGGAAGGGGGGGAGGGACTAAGAGAACCCAGAGGACACCCACGCATGGCAAGGGGAGAACATACAAACTCCACAGAGACTCGCGCTCAACTTGCGAAGTTGTGATGATGCGCGCGTAGGCGAGCCAAGACGCCAACTTTCCTGCCAAGTTTTTGCAGTAGGGGGCGGTGCTGCTGCTGCTGTGTATAATCCTAATTGGATTGTTTTTTGTAAGTAAATTGATTGTGTTTGACCAATACAGTACCAGAGCCCGGAGGAAACCCATATGCAGAACAGGGGGAGAGAGAACATACAAAGTCCACACAGAAAGACTCCCGAGTCGGGAATCGAACCCCTTGCTGCGCGGCGCCAATGTTCACGATGCGCTTTTGACACTGCCGCCCCAATGGCAAGATGTTGTCATTGTTAATCATTTTAATCTTGTAAACGTTCCTGCCAATTCCTCATAGGGAATCAATGGGCCATGGACGATTCATTGGGTAATGTTTTTCCGATAGGTTAATAAAACTCTCTGGTTCAAATAATACTTCTTATTAAGTGCAGATATCCTTCCCACCACCAGCGCATCCGGAATGACAATGAGAGCACAGCAGTGAAGGCAGCGGTCTCCTGCAGCTTTAATTAATACAAAACCCACACTTAAGTAAAGCGTCCAAACATCAGCACAGGCGTTGTAAAATCATAGTAAATCAAGTACACACATCTCATTTGAACTGCAGAGAAACGCCTCGACACCACCACCACCGCGCGGACCATTTTATAAAAGGGAAAGCGGATAATAGATGGAAGAGTGGCGTTTCCCTACAGCGATATACAGACGCTTTGTATGAATGCAAACGCTTTGAGTGGAAGATCGATATGGAACTCAAAAATCCTGATTGTGAACTCTCCACAAGAAATCCCGTAGCACACAGCAAAACAAGATTCAGACCTTCAAGTAATGATTCACTTGCCCTATCAGAATTAGAATTCGATTGCCTACAGACGAAAAAAAATGTAACACATTTACAGCACTTTTATAAATGAAAAATCATTCGCATCACTTACGTTTGTAGTTATTCTTTTTTTGAAACACACTCACTGTGCAAAATATATTTCTGATCACATTTGTAAATATTTACCATTCAACAAACACGTGGGTGAAGAACCATGGCGGTGGATGTGCACGCTGCAGCTCTGTGCTTAACGGCGATACGCAAGGCGTTTGTCGGAGCAACACAATGTGAGCCTGGTTTGAACTCGAATGAGACTGTCTGGGATATCAGCTGGTGCAAGCTTGGGTTGTGATGCGGCCAGAAGCTGGCAGTATACCAACGCATTCTGTAATCCATATTTGCAGAGCTTTCAGTGTTCATTATCACGTAGGAGTGGGTCTTCTCCAGGTACTCCAGTTCCTCCTACATGCCACTTATTATTGGTATGGGCCAGGCATCTCAAAGCAGTCCCCTCCTAAAAATATCTTCGAGACTCAGTGAGGCTTTCTTGGTTAAAAACCAATTATTATTGTTATTGGCCTCAAGTGAAGTGCATGAATAAACTTCGCAGAGCTTGACTCTATTGCACCAACCACGACAACCATCCAGATCATCACTTTCATCATCACGACCCTGTGTATCACAACGGTATTGCAATGTGCAAATGAGGCATTATTTACCATGACAGTGAGGCAAAAGATCAACCCTTGTTTAAAAGGTTAACGTGTTTTCCCCCAACGTTTAGGAAAGGTCAGCAATGGACAGCCCTAGTCGTGGTAGTGACCACACGGCAGTGTAGTTCTCCAGGGTGGCGCAAGGGGCGATCCTGTGGCCCACCACACTCAGTGAAGCCTTTTCCTGAATAGAAGATGAACATAAGCAGAGGCGAATGTTAAGCTTCTACTGAACACCAGAGCGGAAAAGAACAGGAGAGTACAACAGGTCTCGTACAGAGACAACGAACAAAGAGACGAAATGAACGACGTGAAGTGCTGCAAGCCACAGTGAGAGATGACAAAAGCAAGAAGAGAGTGCTATGGTTGGAGGAGAGCAAGAGGTTATGAACTATGCACAGTATAACCATCTCCGTGCAACAGCCAGAGGAGGAACCTTGGAGAGCAGTTGAAAACATGACTCAGGGATACATCCACCGTGTGACAGACAGTGGACGTTTGCAAGGTGATTGGGATCCGAAGAGGGTCTCCATTACCTTGATGCCTTGTGATAATAGGTGTCTGTTTGGGGTTTGAACATCTTTACACCTCCTATATTCTTGCTATAAATGGTAAAACCTATTATTTTTTCGTCATCTTGATACCGACAAAAAGGGTCCCATATATTAAACTGCTCGACCCGCGCTATGAATATTTTGATATTTGCATATTTATCGTCTGTTCAACTTTTGCCATTCTTTTGTTTAACACTTGTAAGACAACGCCACGAAGGAGACTGTCTCTTATGTAGGCCAATCAGTTTTAAATACAATGCATGCATTATCAAAGAATGTTTGTTTGCATGTTTATCATAAGCATGTGTGGTTATTGCCAGAGGTGTGGACTCGAGTCATGTGACTTGGACTCGAGTCAGACTCGAGTCATGAATTTGATGACTTCAGACTCGACTTGGACTTGCATAACAATGACTTTGTCCCACCTCTGAGGCGTGGACTCGAGTCATGTGACTTGGACTCGAGTCAGACTCGAGTCATGAATTTGATGACTTCAGACTCGACTTGGACTTGCATAACAATGACTTTGTCCCACCTCTGGTTATTGCAGATTTGATGCCTTGCAATAGGTGTCTATTTAGTGTTTGGTCATCTTAACACCTGTATGCTTTCCAGGAAGGATAAAGGTCATTCTTTTTTTCATCATTTTAATACTGGCAAAAATGGTCTTCTGGAATGGGATCCGAGATGTTTCGTTTCAAGATGGGGGATGAAGGTGACATTTGCGAAGGACAGCAGAACGGTGCCAGAAGCAGTGATGGGGAAGTTACTTGAAGGCGGTAACGTTACACAACGCCACGTTACTCACCATAACAAGTTACCTTGATTATGGAAAAGTTTCCTTTCAGTTTGCAGTACTGATTAGTTACTCATTGACTCAGTAAATGTATCGAACGTTGCTTTTACAAGTTGCTTCAGTAAATTAAAATTCACATAAAGTTTTCGTGACTGCAGGAATTCATATTCTTTGGGTCTTTCGGTGACTTTACCGAAATACCCAAAGAATATAAAAATGCACACTCATACGCACATACACATACATGACATACTATGTGCGTACACACACACATCCGTACAAAATGTGACCATACAGTACTAAACTTGTTTACTGTACAGTAATTAACAGGATAACTAAGGTATTGTCCACATACCTCTTCATAACTCTTACTTAATGTTAATAACGATTAAGTATTTACCATTCAAACGTATAATTTAGACATTTATGACCAGGAACGCGCTGCGTTTCCTAGACACACCCCGCAGGAGTTTCACAGTAAGGGGCGATGGTGTTTCGTGTAATCCCAATTGAGTATTGCAGTGGAAGATGGCAGCCTTCATGCAGCCCCCTCTATTAAGTGAGAAATCACAACCATACGCCATTAAAACGGCGGCCGAACATCGATCATCGATCTCCAGGCCTCCAGAGCAACAACGCAATTGAATGTTCAGTGGTGTACCTTTTCACGTGGCACATGATGGCGAACGCGTTTCTCTTTCCGAATGACGTCTTTAACGTTCACTGTGAAGCAGACGTCCCATAGTATTTTTGTGTTAAGCCACACCGCAGTAATAACCAGGGTGGCCTCCTGGATTAGAAGCGCGAACCTCTGCAATGAGCGGTGAGCGTGCTACTGCTGGGCCACGTCATCACCCAGATGTTGTCTCCTTAAACGGTGCGACTGGCGTCTCACCCTGCCGTGAAACTACAACGGAGCCAGCCGTGTGGCCTGAGGAGCCGTCTCAACGTCTTGGCTCAGAGGTGACAGGGGGTGGGTCGGTGACCATCGGGTTTAAACCGGGTTCTTAAGCGGAGTCAGGTGATTGTCTCAGCCCGGTCGCCAACAATGGAACAAAAAAAAACGTGTTGCGTAAAATTTTGTTTTTAAGTTGATTTGGCCAACATTCCAGTTCTAAGAATAAAAAAATATATTTAATCTACCTAACAGTTCTCTGTCGCAGGGTATACAAAGCTCGGAAGTAGTCCTGTGATTTCTGCTTCTGTGGGACATTCTTTGATACGGGGTGGTGCACTGCTCTGCTTGATTTCCAAATGAACACGTATCTCGTGACGTGACATGAATACATAATTGGAATAGAATTTTAAAAAATTGTGGTATTTAAAAACATTATTCGAGCCTCACATTCCTCGTGGCCCTCCGCTGACACAGCGATGGAAAAAGTCGCGACACGAGGCGTGGCGCTCGGGGTGGATCTTGCACCACCAGATGCCCCTTCTGGCCCAGCCAAGTTCACTCTGCTCAGGAGTGCTCACTTTTACGGTGGCCCCCCCACACAGCAGCTCGACTGCCTCTCCTCCCACCCCACCCGGAAGGAGCCGGAGCCGACACCTGCGGGTTAGCGTCCTTCAGCCACCCAGCTTTGACAAGGTCCCTCCAACCGCACGTGCCGACGAACTCACAAGGGGGCGATGCGATGCTGAGCCCACGCAGAAGTGAAAATGGGAGGCTCAACTTTTGTGAAATGTCATCGCGTGCGCAGCGCGACCGGCCTACTTGCGTGTGAGGGGAGGCAAGGTGGCCCGCGGCGTAACTCCCATGTCCTCGAGCCGAGGGAGCCATGCGTGGCGCAGTTCAAGAGGGAGCCCTCGCCCCCGCAGAGGGAAGAACGACGCATGTCTGCCCACTTCCGCATCACAGCACGACGTGGTGAGGAGGAGAGATGAACACCGAGCTTGTTGGTGAGGTGTGTGGTGCGGTGGGCTGACGCGGGGAGGTGAGCATGGAGCCTGCTGGTGAGATGACGAAGTGAGGTGGCAAGGAGTTGAGTGGAGAAGCGGTGAGGTGGTTAGTGGTGAGGTGGCAAGGAGGTGCGTTGGTTATGTGGTGAGGAAGTGAGGTGGTTATGTGATGAGGTGGCGAGGAGCTCAGGGGTGACGTGGTGACGGGAGAAGTGGTGAGGGCTGAGGTAGTGAGGTGTTGAGAAAGTGAGGTGGTGAGCTGGTGAGGGGTGAGGTGGTGAGGGGAGAGGTGGTGAGGGCTGAGGTAGTGAGGTGGTGAGGAAGTGAGGTGGTGAGCTGTTGAGGTGGCAAGGAGGTGAGGGGTGAGGTGGTGAGGGGAGAGGTGGTGAGGGCTGAGGTAGTGAGGTGGTGAGGAAGTGAGGTGGTGAGCTGGTGAGGTGGCTAACGGCGGGGTGAGCAGGGCGTGTAGGGGACGCGAAGCAGGCAGGGCGTGTGCTCCATGACCCTGAGAAGCAGGGTGTCGATGTAGTCTTCCAAGGAGCGGATGAGGTCGTCCTTGGCCACCAGATCTTCTTTGTGATGGATAATCAGCGCAACGAGATCGGCCCGGCTGAGATTCCGGAGTTTCTGTTCCGCACACACAGGCAGGCCCAACACCGTTACCAAGTACGATAAGTCCTCGCTTAATGTGGGGGTGTTCACACAAGGCGTTTTCTCTGTAACACGCTTCTTCCTATTAGTATTAGGGAACACTTTTCACACAATACGGAACGCACCCATTATAACGCGGAACGTGCACCGTTATAACGCGGAATGACCACCGTTATAACGGACGACGACGAACTTGTTTCGAGCGGTACAGTGATACAGTATGTGCAATGATACAGTAACGCAGCGGCGTACCCTTCACTTATTTGTCGCGCTATCTTGCTGTTTCTGCGTAGTCCATCGTATCTCGCCAAACTTTATCGCTACTACATTATTTATGGAGAAATTGTTTTTGCTAAACACGTTTTTCGCTTAATGTGGAACTTTCAGGAATGCATCTCCTATCGCGTTAAACGAGGACTTACTGTACCGAGATTCAATAAATGTCACAGATGTGATTTCGCGCACAGTTTTTGTCAGATTCATAGGCGTGGGGAAACCACAGGAAAGTGGAGAGGCGGCCAGAACCAGCGCCAACAATTTCCCAAGCTCCGTTTGATCTACATTGGGACGTTTGGCCAACTCCACTAACTAGTGATTATTACACACGTGGGAGGAGACCGGAGTACCCGGAGAAAACCCATGCATGCGGAGTGCAGGGGTAATACTCGATCCCTGTACAGATGGAATACAGATGGGGATGAACCCACTTGCTGTGCTATCACCACACCCTGGCTAGAATCCAGGAGACGGCGATCTCACTGCCCCCACAGTGATGGGTTACAGGCCAAGCGCCGCAGCACGGCTGGTTGTTCTTAGATTGAGGTTGCATTTTTTAAAGATAAATGCAAGCATACAATGCATTCATGATGATAAATTATCCTTGGCATCACGATTGAGGTTGCGACAACACAGACTACTGAGCAATAGATCAAAGACAAAGATCCCCCGTATAGCCTTAACAGACTGTAGTGGCAAATGCTGTTAGCGAGTACCTATGAAGGCTGTCACGGCACGGGCAGGTAGAAGGCCAGCACCACGCATGGCTGCCTTTGTCTCTCTAAAGACGATGTTTAAATATTGCACCAGGTACTCATTTGAGACTGAGTCGACCTAAGGGAGGCCAAGGACCAGTTAGATCATCCTCACTGGTGTTGGTGGTGGCCATGAGTGGGAATCGAACTGGGATCACCGTGTTCGTAGCGGGTAATAAACACACACACATAGATTGTCTGCTACTGTTTGTTTTGTGGAAATATCTGGAAAATAAAAATTTTGATACACAACTAGGGTCATGCCCCATTCATTCATTCTGAAAACTTCTACCAAAATTCAAACTGACCCAAGATTCCAGAATGAAAAAAAGTTTCTGACTGCCGGGTGGTGTAGGGTTTAAGTTATTTGGCCGGTGACCGAGCACTGAGCACCATGGACCACACACGCTCCGTCTCATAGTCCTCGTGATTCGAGGCGAGTCCATTGTTCTTTCCCGAGCCGAACCTTCACCTAGCAGAGTCTACCGCACGGCACTGGCACATGCGTTGTGCAGTCCGGCTTGAGCCTCTCCCAAGCTAAGACTTCCACACACCTGGTGAAAGTATTAAACTAAACGATTAAACTATTTTTATTTCCCTAGGTAAAGCCCACTGAGCTATCTATCTCTTTTACAAAACAAATGATAGCTCAATGAAAGTGGCTTGTTGATTCTAAATGTGGAGGGAAAAAACGGAAAACAAATCCACGTGATCACGGGGAGAACATGCAAACTCCTAATATACAGGTGTCAGCTTCGGAATTGAACCCACGATCTCCTGCATGCCAGGCGAGGGAGTTAACATCTCCTAGCCACCGTGGGGCCACCCCTCCTGCTCCACTCCAAAAGGGACGCATGTACCCACCTCATTGTCCAAGCTCGGATGCATGGAGGCTGTGGCGAGCTCCCTCTGCTGCCGCGCTCCCGTGGGGCCCTCCCGCGGCCGCGCGCGGTTCCTGAAGAGCGAGCGGCCCTGCGTCTCAGGCGGCCTTGGCCCGAGTTGAGGCCTCACGCTTGGTTTTCCAAGCGATGCATGGCCCGGCGGCCTCGTTTCGAACTCCACGCCGCCGCCGTTGCCCGCCATCGGAGCGTCAGTGCCGTGGCCTTCGACGGCCGAGTTGGAGCGAGCCAGCTTGGACTTGGGGTCCGCTGGAATGAAGTGGTTTGATGCACTGGACGACCTCCTGTGGGTGTGCGTGTCTGCATCTGGGCGGCGGGGAGAACGGGGACCCGAGGAGAGTGTAGTTGAACGTTTGATGTTCGTTTGACGTTTGCAACGAGAGCGCTTAGCCACGTCATTCTAACTGCAATGTGGAGAGACACAATTGTGAATGTATGCGGTACCATTGGTTTCACTGTGAATCCTAAAAAATGTTCCGTGAAAACTCGCAAAGATGAGATTGTATGTATGTATGTTGAATTTGTCACACCGTATGTAGCCAACCGGGCTAATCGGAGGTGCGGGGGAAGGACAACAAACTAAACACAAAAAACTGTTTGAAATATATCAGATTGCAATCTATATTCTCTGCGAAACCAGTGGTAACCACACGTTTTTGCAATCCCTTTCCATTATATTACAGTTTGAACGGCGTGGCCAAGCGCTTTCATTACGAATCTAAAACGAATATTAAACATCCAACCACACTCTCCTTCAGTGAGAACGGACAGGCTCATATGGGGCTCTGCCCACATTCACACAAGCCGCCTCATATTGAATTAAACACAACAATGTTCACCCCCCCTACCGACTGAAAGGAGATTCATGAGACTCATTGAGGCTTTCCTGGGCAAATGAGCGTTGTAGTAATGATAACAACAGGACCTTACATACGGTGCTGCGGGCATGAGACGACGGGCTGGTTCTGAGGATGGAAAGGCTTAATGAGAAAGTAAGAATTAAATGAATTTTTTTTTACTAATACAATCATACCCCGGTTTACGTCTCCCCCTTTAAAGCCGTTTTGCAAATACGTTTCACTTTATTAATACCAATACCCGATGTATATCGGCTTAACCCACACTTACGTCACTGACAGCATCGTCAGTCAGTTCTCATCATCCGTCGCGTCTCAGCCTTTGTCTCCACCACCTACCCTGTAAATTGCTTCGACTTATGTCGTTTCGATATTCGTCATCACACCTTTCAGGAACGCATCCCCGACGTAAAGTGGGGTATTGCTGTATTTTGATTGTGGTCGTATTATTGTGAGATGACGCTCGTTTACCAAAGGAAAGTCTCACCGAGTCTCCACTCTATTTCAGGAGGGTCTTGCCAACTTTTCGCAGTAAGTGGAGGGTGCGATGTTGCTGCTGCTCTGTGCAGAATCCAAATTGACTAATTTGCGGTGCAGTTTTTTTTAAGTGGTAAATTTGAAGCCACGATGCGAGCGCACAATGGCCTACTCATTTTTTTATGCAATCACGGGATCGTTAATGTCCACCGTTAAGCAGGCGGCACATAGTATTTTACGGTCAATATACTCGCAGTATTAACCAGAGTGGCCTGCAGGATTCGAATCGTGAATCTGCTACAAGCAAGAAATGCATAACCACTGGGCCGCCTCACTGTGTGAGATGTTCACTATTCACTCCCGATGTTCAATATTCACTGCTGTGTATGTTGTTGAACTTCTTTCATCCCGTACGTAGGCAACCATGCTACTGAGTTTACACTAACGATGTGCTTGATGTGATGGCGAGTGTGGTGGAGCGGGAAAGAGGGAGGGAAGGGAGCCGTGATGCTCCTGTTGGTGCCTCTCCCGACCTTCAGGTTCATCCAGGGGGGCTCCAGCGAGACGCCGGCTCACCAGGTCCGACATGGAGCGAGCCAGCGACATGCGGCGAGGAGACGCCACGCTGCAGGGACACATCACCACCATCACCACCGCCACCATCATTACCACTATCACCACCACCATCACCACCACTGGCTTCATCACCACCACTATCACTACCAGCGGCACCATCACCACCAACATCACCAACACCATCACAACCATCGCCACCATCACTACCATCACCACCATCACCACCGGCACCATCACCACCATCATCGCCACCACCAAGCTCGGTGAGAGCGAAGGTGTGTACGTATCCGTGAGTATCGGTGAGTATCAATGTGGAGTCAGTGTGAAGGTGATTTTGTGTGTGTGTGTCATTAGAATAGCAGTTATCACACTGCGCTATGAACCCGAAGACCGGAGTTCAATTCCCGCTTATGGCCAACACCAGTGACAATTACTTGAACCAATTCAGGCCCCCACTCCCCCCCACCTCCTAAGTCGACTCAGCCTTAAAACGAGTATCTGGTGCAGTGTGTAAACATCAACACTGGGGAGACAAAGGCGGCCGAGCGTGGTATTGGCCACCCACAACCTTGTGTGCCGTGGCGGCCTTCGTAGGTGATGCTCGCTGACAGCCCTCACCATAACAGTCTTTTAAAGCGTACCTTTCCTTGAGGCCATTCTTCATGTCCTCCCCTGCTCCCGATGCCCCTTCACCTGGTGAGAAAGAGACAGAGAGAGGGAGGTCACGGGGCACGGGTTCAGTACAGCCACCGTGTCTCATGGCCCGGTGTGTAATGCTTTGTGGAAACTGTCACAAGATGCCCAAAATAACACAAACTCTCCTTAAACAGCATACAGCTGAGTCAGTGAACAAAATGCAATGGCAAAATTACTCGGAATGGCAAATCCGAGTTTAATTGTGCACAGCATAGAATACAATAGACATAACCGTATAAAACCTGGCAGTACCCTCCTGAAAAGTAACAGAGACTTTCCTTCGGTAAACCAGCGTCATCTCGATAATAATTGGGCCGTCGATTGCAGTGGGATTTACAGACACGAAAGTCAAGGGTTCTCTGAGGTGCCAGGCGCCACGTGGCAAATAAACCCCTGCACCATCAATACAGGGTGGCGATGTGGGGAGGCCTTCATCCAGCAGTGGATTGACAATGGTAATGACAATGAGTCAATATGACAAAAAATAATTCAAGGCTCTAAATGTGTGCAGTGTGTCTTATGGCGCAGTGCGTCTCATGGCCCAGTGTGTCTCCTGGCCCTGGTGTGACCTCATGCATGCGTTGTGGAGGTGCAGGGAAGAGGGGGAGGCCCACACCTGTTCTGGTGCTCCGCAGGAAGCTAATGGTCACCTCGAGCTCGCCGCGCCCCCCCGCCGTGTCGCCGCGCCCCCCCACCAGCGCGTGCCATCTAAGGGTACAACGACACCCCGGGGTCATGGGCATAGCCTCACAGCCTTATACAGGGGCAGTGTTCAGTCTATGATCAGTATTGGGTCTGCGGGCAGCGTTGGTTCTGGGCAGTGCTGGGTCTGTGGGCAGCGCTAGGTCTGTGGGCAGTGCTGGGTCTGTAGGCGGCATTGGGTCTGTGTGCAGCATTGAGTCTGTTGGCAGTGTTGGGTCCATGGGCATGTTGAGTCTGAGAATAGGTTTTCCCCTTTTTTCTGGCAACAAAACAGGTGTTAAGATGTTAAAACACCAAACTGAAACATTTTACAAGGAATAATGTCTGCATTAACCACAATACTTGTGGTCAGAATGCAAAAAAAGAATACTCTGATAATATATGCATTGTTTTTGAAATTGATTGGTCCACACCAGAGACAGCTCACTTTTGAGCCTAGTCTCAAAACGGTGTTAAACCAAAGGACGCCAAAAGGCGTACAGCACAAAGACAAGCATCATCAGAGTAATGAGAGCTCGGGTGAGCAGCTACATCATGGGATCTCCTTTGCCAGTACCAAAAAAATTTGAATTGGTTATTATCAGAGTATGTTTTTTGTTTGCATTGTGGTTAATGCAGACATGATTCCTTGTAAAAGGCTTCAGTTTGGTGTTTTAACATCTTAACACCTGTTTTGTTGCCAGAAAAAAGGGAAAACCTATTGCAGTGTTGGGTCTATGGGTAGTGTTGGTTTTATGGACAGCGTTGGGTATATGGGCAGCGTTGAGTCTATGGGCAGCTTTGGGTCGATGGGCAGTGTTGGGTCTATGGGCATATTGGGTCTATGGGCAGCATTGAGTCTATGGGCAACGTTGGGTCTATGAGCTGTATTGAGCCTATGGGCAATGGAGAAGAGGTGAAGTTCCAAGAGAGGAACAGAAGAAGGTAAGGAGGGGGACCGCCAAAATCCTGGGTTTGAATAACAGTGGCCATGCGCACGGCGCATCCATCACTCACGCGGCACGCGTCCTCGCCTTGTCCCGGTAGATCTCCTCCAGGGCTAACACCACTTTGCCCAGGCACTTGTCCGCCCCCAGCGTGACCCTGTGCATCACGGCGAGCACCAGCAGTGGCGAGTGCCTCGCCTTCGCCTTCTTCGCTCGGCCTCCCTCTCGCTCGTCTGCAGCATCGTGAACCGCCGCCTCGCCGTTGCCGTCGCCGTCTCCACCAGACCAGCGCTCAATATCGAGTGTGCACTCCTCCAGCCACTTGGGGTCACAGCTCGGCCCCTGCACTGAGGTGCGGTAGAGCTGCGTGCCCAGGCTGAAGGTCACGTAGGCATTGGCCTCCCGGCCCAAGCTGCGCGCCTGGCGCACCAGTACGTTCACGTGCGTGGGGTGCCACGCCATTGACGCCGGAGGGGAGACGCGGGTCAGGTCCGAAGTCGCGCTGGGGTCAGAAGGCACACCTGGGCAATGAGACACTGGGCCATGAGACACACCTGGGCCATGAGACACACCTGGGCGATGAGACACACTGGGCGATGAGACACACTGGGCGATGAAACACACTGGGCGATGAGATACTTAGGCCATGAAACACACCTAGGCCATGACACACTGAACCATGAGACACACTGGGCCATGAGACACACTGGGCCATGAGACACACTGGGCCATGAGATGCAACTATTACCATACAGAAGAATATAATACATATCAGCACTCCACTCCCCCTATATCTGCGTAACGTGAGAATAGGTTTTCCCCTTTTTTCTGTTAACAAAACAGGTGTTAAGATGTTCAAACACCAAACTGAAGCCTTTTACAAGGAATCATGTCTGCATTAACCACAATACTTGTGGTCAGAATGCATTTTAAAAAACATACTCTGATAATATATGCATTGTCTTTGAAACTGATTGGTCCACACCAGAGACAGCTTTCTTTGGAGCCTCGTCTCAAAAGGTGTTAGACTAGAGGACGCCAAAAGGCATACAGCACAAAGACAATCATTATCAAGAGTAATGAGAGCTCGGGGTGAGCAGGTACATCAGTACCAACATATGAGGCAGACATGATTCCTTGTAAAAGGTTTCAGTTTGGTGTTTTAACATCTTAACACCTGTTTTGTTGCCAGAAAAAAGGGGAAAACCTATTCCCAAATTTTGGTACTGACAAAGGAGGTCCCATGATGTCCGTGTAACGTTTCATGTTTATGTAGCTTGGTATTGTAGACTGTAGTGTGATCAGGATGGAGGTCATCTGCGTTTGAGCCGATTCGTACTGCAGGGAATTTAATATTCAACTCTAAGTTGATCTCGATTTTAAATTCCTAATCTGATACAGTACAGTTTTTTTATTCTGATTTCTATTCACTTCATTTTTGTAAGGGTTTTTATTTAATGTTTTAGCTTTTGTTATTTTGGTGACCCAAGTCACCCTTGAAAATGAGAGTTACTCTGGTGCCTTGAGTTATCGCCTGCGTAGTTAAATACACCTGAACTTGAGGCTGCTCCCACATCGTGTGATGTTTCATTTTTCTCCAGTTCTACTTACAGCACAAATGGTGTCTTACGATGCAGAGCCAATTTCATTCACAAAATCTCTGCTGCGAGCAGTGCACAACCCTGTGTCAGAAAACGATCATGGAAGACGAAGTCACAGAGCTACCTCAAGATTCGATGCAAAAGGTCGCTTAATTCACGATCAGTTTCCTTCCCGTGCTAATAACGCATCAGGGCATTGTCAGAGATGGGATTGAGCCGAATTAAGTGACTTAACGAATTATGAGCGCATACATTGGTAAACTTGAAACACCGGTCTAACCACGGGCTGCTGGAACCGGTATTCGGACCCAAGGTCTCAGCCGGTAGTGAAAAACAAACTGCACCACCAGCGATTTGTAACGCTGATACACACGGGAACAGTGCCTGTACGGCTCAACAGGGACTCGCGTGCCGAGCTGCCAGCCCCACCTACTCGATCACTAGACCCTCCCATTCCTCAGGTAGCCCCTCCCTTATAGCCCCGCCCCCATTGCTCAGGTAACCCACTAATCGGGTTGCTCTGCCCGGTATTTGACCAATACATTGACAAATATGAATATCTTTGTAAAGATGGCAATATTGTCGGGTGGTGGAGGGTTACTTGGCGCCTTACGTGGGACGTGTTTAACAATTATCAGGCTCGTGCAAGGTGGAACGAGTTAATTAGTGTGATGGATGAGGAGGAGTAAATTGGTAAATGCGGAAAAGACGTCGCGTGGTGGTTCGGTCGCGAGGACTGGAGATTGGGGAGATTGGGGAAACCGTGGCTTGCAATCCCGGCAGCCACCAAAACGTGGTATTGGTTTTTGAATGAACTTTATACAATTAGGTGGCGTCGTCATCCCAGGGCACAGGGGACGCCCGCTCTGGCCGTGAATGCTCGTGCAGTTACGCACTCAACGATTTACTTTTGGGGGAGGAAATGTTTTGACAGAATGACTCGGTCGCCAATCCCCACGCACACCAAGAACGCGCGCGTGCTGGAGTCCTTGCCGATCTGTGCTCGCCGTCCCTTCAGGGTCACTTTGCCGAAGGCGCGTGAATTCTTAACAAACTCGCGTACAGATCAAACCACAGGCACACACACACACGACAGTACAAAGACAGACAGACACACCCACGCACCAACGCGTAAAATGAATGCACGCGGAACTGGTCAGACTGGACGGGCGGCAGTCCAGCCGGTACACAAGAGAGCGAGCGGTACCCTGCCCATCAAGGCGCCGACATTCACAGAATACTTGGCCGGCTGCATAGCCACATTCTTTTATTTGTGTCGCTTGCTTTCGTGGGGTATGCACTATATTTAACAACAGACACACGAGGTACAGGATTGTATGTACTCGCCACTGGCATCAGCTGATAAACAATCATTCATGAGCCACTCACGACTGGCACAAGACGCACGCGCGACGGCGCTGTAGCCACCAGCCTGCTTAGCCCTCTGGGCTTCCAGGCCAGTTGTGCCAGCCTCCGACTGGCTAGGCACGAGCTTCAGCCTTAGTTCACACTCCACTTCAACTTCATACCTTTCACGTCTATCAAGCAAGCCGAAGCCTGCTGGAGAAACGCCACTTGGCGCCCTGATGCCACGGTGTGCTGGGGAGGAGGGCACGTATAATGAGCTCCGCTGCGCTTGACTGATGATGCTGGCTCACCTGCCCCCTGCCGCGAGAGAGGTCTTGACAAAGCGCTTTTCAAATTCCTCTCGCCCAGCTCTTAGGAAGCGCTCGAGCTGTTACGGGTTTGGGCGTGGGGTACAACATGGGGTCGACCATGGGTTAACGGTGTTGCGTGTTTAAGCGTGGTGGGTTGGAGAATGGGATCGAAATCGCTTTTATTTCCATAAATTCCTGTTCCGTAACTCATTATACGAGCAAGCTAACGAACATATTAATGTTATTTGGGCATAACACACCTATTCAGCATCATAATGTAGGCCTCATTCTCTCACTTCACAGCGCCCATTGTATGTGCAGGCAGCGCGAGCCCACGAGGTTTCTTGTCAGGTGGAGGCGTGGGGCCACTTCGCTCGGGCAACGTGGATCACCCCACCTCACTGACCTCGTCATCGGCCACGGGGAGGGATGAGGAGCCGAGGGGCTACGTGCACGGGACCCTGCCTGGGGAATGAGAGGCGCCTTCATGCTTGGGCTTGTGAGGTAGCCATATAGCAGTACAGAATGGAGGATTAAATCCATCCGTGCGGCGTGGGTTAAGGGTTACCCCCTCTTACGCATTGAGTTTTTCGGTGGTGACGCTCGCTACTCATAGCAGCAAGAAGGGCCTGGGTTCGATTCCCAACTCGGGCGCCTTTCTGTGTAGTGTTTGTATTCTCTCCCCCTGTTCTGCATGGGTTTCCTCCTGGTTCTCCCGTTTGCGCCCATAGATAAAACACACGTACAGTTGAACTGGTAATGGCCAAAACATCCCAAAGTTGAAAAATTACCTGAAAATTACTCAGTTGGGATTTAAGAGAGCAACATCACCCCCGACTAGGAAAACGTGACAGGACTCTCCTGAAAAAAGAATTTCGACTCAATGAGGTTTTCCTGGATAAACCATCGGATTAAACTAAATGATAGCTACTCCAGTTTCTTCCTATGTGCCACTCGTTAATGGATATTGAGCCAAACGTCCCAAAGCAGGGCCCTCCTGAAATAGCCTTGAGACTCGGCGGGGCTTTTTCTGGGTGAATAGAGGGCATTACAGTAAGTCCTTTTTGAACACGGGATGAGGTGCATTCGTCCTGAAAAGTACCACGTTAAGCGAAAACCGAGTGAAGCGAGGAATTATCGAGTTACTGAAGCACATTTGCATTGTAAACTCAGCCTACAGTCATCCCATGACAGGAACCGAGATGAGGGTACGCTGCCGCCTTACTGTATCATTCCACGTATTGTATCACTCCACTCAGCCGCGCAGCTCAAGAAAGTAGCTCATCGTCAACCACTCATAAACCGCGTTATAACGGTGCACGTTCCGCGTTACCAATAGAACTGCGTTATAGCGAAAACATGTTGTATGAAAATGCGTCAACCGATTACTTATAATGTATATACATGGAACAGACTTTATAAAAAATATATTCTTCATACTTGTTTACGTGGGGTTGCGATCCTGAAAATGTCCATGTAAAATGAATTCGCGATAAGCGTAAGGAATAACGGTCAAGGTGGGGATGCCGTTCCAGCCCATAGTTTTATTATTGTTTATTTGACAGTACACTGTTTTACAAGTTTATTTTTACGTATGTATGTTGAACTTTTTTAAATATTGTGTTTATAGATTATTTCTATAAATACACGATGTGTGACAGTCATCTAAATATGAAGTGAGTGAGAGGGAAAAGATGAGGGAGTGAAATGACGTTACGCAAGCAACTGTACTACAATACCAGTACCACAGGACTACAGTACCAACTTTCAGCATCACAGAAAGCTGCCATAACGCGAGACTTGTGTTATAGCGAGTAGTGCATCATGCGCTAGACTCACATAGCGAGTAGTCCATTACCCACTAGACTCGCGTTATAGCGAGCAGTCCATCATGCGCTAGACTCGCGTTATAGCGAGTAGTCCGTCACGCACTACAATTGCGTTATAGTGAGTAGTCCGTCACACACTAGACTCGAGTTATAGCGAGTAGTCCATCATGCGCTAGACTCGCGTTATAGAGAGTAGTCCATCACGTACTAGACTCACGTTATAGCGAGTAGTCCCTCACCTGTTAGACTCGCGTTATAGCGAGTAGTCTGTCACGCATTAGACTGGCAAAGCGAACAATCCGTCATACCCAAGACTCGTGTTATAGCGATTAGAACGTAACACCCTAGACTTGCGCTATAGTGAGTAGTCAGAAACGCGCTAAATTCGCGTTATAGCGAGTAGTCCATCATGCG